CCTCGGTTTTCGAGAAGATCAGAATGTTATCTAAATAGATAATTATAAATTTATTAAGATACTCTTCCAGTATCTTATTAATATATTACTAGAATAATGCGGGCGCGTTGGTAAGCTTAAATAATATAATTAAGTATTTATAATATCTATATTTTATTCTGAATATAGTTTTCCATTCTTCACCTTCTATAATATATATATAATAATATATATTAGTAATATTAAGTTTAGTAAACTACTTTGTTCCTCGTATCTTATCTTGGATTTCCAAGATTAAGGGTAAAGGGTGCCGATTCTTAATTATAATTATATTAAATAATTAATAATCTATATATAATTATAGGCTGCTATTCTTTTTTAGTATAAATAGGATTTTATGTTCTGTAAATAACTTTAATAGTCTGATATTATCTTTTACTAATTAATTATTAATATATTTTTATAGTGCCTGTGATTCCTTTTCAGATATTAAATAAATTTTTTTATATACTAGTAACTTTTCTTTCTTAATAGAAATAGTGTAGTTATACTTTCTATACTGAGATAATTTAAACTTTTTCAGCTATTTAAATAAATTCCTGAATCTTTTATACTGTAATAGGATACACAGATTACTTTTAATTATAATTAAAAATTTTTATAAATCTTTTAATCTTATATTATTATCTTCAAGTCTCTATTCTTCTTAAATTCTTATTAACTTTATATTATTATACTTAGGTCTGCACTTGTTTTAAGTTTTTTAATTTATATTACTAAATTTAAGTTCTTACTCCTGAGCTCTAGTTCTTATATTATTATTTTTATATTTCTGCACCTGTGACTTGCTTCTTGGATTAATACTATTAATATTGTATTCACAGTATTCTTTAGTTATTACTAGTATCTATCCCAGTAGTTTCTTGAGCTAATCTTATTGTACTGGCTTGGTTATTGCTATTACTTATATAATAATACTCAAGATACTACTTTTCTCTGAGTTTCTTTTAATACCTGGTATATTAGACTTTTATAATATTCTTAATTTTTTTATAAATTGTTTAGTCCTCACCCCAGTCTCTTACTAGCTAATAAATTATACAGATCTAGACTCTATATCTGGTTCTTACTGATATTATCTTAGATAATTATAATTAGTGAATTGAAGACTCTCAGTCTTCTAATTAATTTATAGATTATAATTTCTAAATCATAGAATCTCTAACATAATATTATACTATTCTAATAGCATCATGTTGAGGTCTATATATTTGAAGTAGTCTATTATAATTATAAATATAATCCTTGATTTAATTATTAATATAAGAATTCCTAGATTCTCTCTATTTAATCCAGTAATTACTTCTGATTTTACTTTCTATTTTCCGAGTATCCCAAGTTGCTGTATGAATTGTGAGTTCATAAAGTTTTTAGTTATATTAGAGTTAATTAGTATTTGAGCTAGTTATTCTAGCACAATTACTTAAATTTTTAAATATTTTCCTGATTTAATAGCTGCTAATTACTGTTCTGGCTAATTTGGTTCCGGTTAACTTAGATATTTCTACGGGAATTTCGAGTTTTCCATTTTCGCTGCGTAATATATCATACACTGATTGTCGAAGCAGGCTATCTAATATATTATCTTATAATACAGATATCATCTATACTCTATACATAAATATTTAAAATTAATGTATAAATAATAATTCTTCCTGACTTCTACTACTTCCGGTACTTGTGGTTGATATGTCGCGATATACTTCTAGTCATGATGTGTGGAGTACATATCCATGTAGTATATAATCTAAGAAAATTTATTATGTTTCTAGTATTCCTTGTTCTCTTTAAAATGTACACACATGCAATTCTTATAATTAATATCAGAGATTTATCCTGGTTATCTGTATCTTGCAATTAATCTTGAACAGGTGATAATAATAGTCTGTATTATCTTATCTATATATTAAATAAAATTCCAGATAACAAAAATATTTTTATAGATATTATTTCTAATCCTTGTTTTGTGTTTCCTAATATCTTAGATTCTAATATAGGCAATGTTGCATGACTTTCTTGAATTCTAGATAAAATTATACTAGATTTTTCTTAAATTCTTTTATAATATAATTTAATTAATAAGAGATATTATTTTTATTATCTTTCTAATTTTCTTTATTTTCATCCCATTGTATGGAATGTAATTTATTGATATCTGATAGAGATTTTTTTAAAATATTAGATATTTCACTGAGTCTCTTTTTATTAAATTTAAGATTATTTAACTGAGTATTATATTCTTTATCTAAAGAATTAAACTTATTTTAAATTATATTAGGATATTTATTTTCTAGAGCTGGTTTATTACTGTTATTAACTTTTGTGGGCTAATTAAATAGTTCAGATAGTTAGTAGATTTTTTACAGTTCTATTAATATTATTAGCTTATTTGTATCAGTCTGTTGTCTTAACCAGTTCTGGTATATTCTACTTACTAGCACTAGCAGTTATTTTTATTACATGGCATGTAGCTCTTTGCTATCTTGTATCTGCGTTGCGGGTTCAATCCAGACTCCTGCTAATCTGATACTCATATTATAAACTCCCCTGACCTTTTCACTTAATTCTGTCTAGTCTTCTCTTGTGGCCCTCAGCTATTTCTGAGACTATTAACATTTCTGCTTGCAGTTCTTTGACTAGTAACCTATTTTGCTATAGTTAAAGTATAAGCAGTCCTTTTTACACCTTTTAAGCTTTTTCTTGGAAACTCTATTTTATCAAATCTGATGCTGCATTGTATTCAGCTCTATTAGTTTTGGTCTATAGGAATTCTTATATTCCAGGCTTCTAGGCTGTGCTGGCTGTCTATTATTAACTTAGTAGTCCTGTTAGTTATTTTATTAAAATATAGATTTACTAGTCTATTAATCTTTCTTTTATTTCACGTTGTACTCGTATAACTTATTATTAATCTTGACCACTACTGTAATTATTTGTTATAATATATCTAATTATTCTTGCTAAATAAGTTTTTCTTAGATCTCCATCTTGAGTTCTTCTTTAAATTATGTGATGTAAGTATTTTTATCCCAGTCTAAGTGACTAATAACTTACAAGAATTCAAAGATATATTTGAATACTAATTTTATTTACTTAAATTACTATAGTTTTTATTTAATATTTTATACTATGTTAATATCTCTGAATATTTGTTCGAGGTGTTCCTTGAACCTGGTATAACTAGTAAAAATTTATTTAATATTATTATCCTGATTCTTTGCCGGCTTTTCCTGGTAATCGCAGATGAATGGCTCGAACCAATTGAATACTGTTCTAGTTAAATAGATAAATATAAAGAAGATTTTATTAATCTTATTTTTAAACTTTTCTTTATTTATATTAAGATATAAGTCTAACTGGATTAAGAAAACCCTAAGCTTTAATTAATTATTATTAAATAGTTCTAGTAGTCTGATTTTAATAGATTTAACTACTAATTAATCTTTGAGTAACTGGTTCTATTATTTTAAGATAGTGATACTTTCTTGTAACTAACTAACTATATTTATTAATTTCTATATTATTAGGTCTTGTTATTACTCTTTTTCTTGGGTACTAGAGCCCTGCTGCGGAGTACGTGGTGAACTTAAAATAGTTAATATAATAAATAATTATAACTAGTAAATACTTATACTGACTGGTACTTAATATATCAAATCCTAGAATCATTTCCCTGTCCCTGTTAGCTTAGCTTCACTAGTATACATACCATTGAACTAGGTCGAGGAGGTATCAGGCTGATGATTATCTAAGAATAACTAGTCTTAGATACAAGAAGAGAAATAAGGCTAGATAATACTATACAGTTATTTATAAGTAAATGTAGATAAGTGTTCTATTATTAAGCTTCTAAACATATAGTTATTTAAAGATAGTATTATTAAGCATGAAGAATAAAATTAATTAAATATATAAAAGAGTATTCTTATATATTCTATCCTCTATATACCACATTGTATATTATTCTGGGTAGATCAATGGTTAATCTAATTATAGTCCAGGGTCCTAGTATACCTTAAGTATACTCTTAATAGTAGGCTTGATGGTAGGTGGTCACGTGATGCGTGGCCGTTTTGGGCGTCGTATTAGCAATTTGCAATTGTACTAAATAACAACTTGGCTTTGCCTGAGCGCTGCCCTTATCGGCGCTTTCTGCCTGGCGAGTCCGCCTTACTAGTAGATTAACTAGCAGGGGTCCGTAACACTGTGCTGGCAGCTTGTAATAGAGACGTCTTTTAGATAGGATATTTAATGAATAAAAGGTTATCTGTTTTTTTAAATCTAAATTTTTATTATCATGTCTCTTGTTATATTTTTATAGCTGGATGTCTAAATTCGTGCTTAAGTTTCTTATACTAGACTTTAATTTTATAGGCTATCTGGTCCTGGAGTATCTCTGGTAATTCAGTGTGTCACGTGAGGGCTCGGCCTTTCAGATAAAATAAAAGAATATTTAGTATAGGTTACTATTCTTCCTGGGCCATGATAATTTGAATATATCAGATGAAGAATTTGATATTAGTTGTTTTAGGATTAAATATTGTTATATTATCAGGCTTCAGTCGATGAGGATGTTTCTCAGCGGCGTATTGATTATTAGAGTAGTGATCATTGGAATATTAGTCAGGATTAATGTAGAATTGGTTGTAATCTCTTTTAATGCTATATCCATTTTGCTGGTCGGGATATGGAGGGCCTATTAGCACGGGATGTGAATCTGACATGTAATAAGTATTTTGTGTATTTCTTTGTCAGTTATCTTCAGCGTAGAAACTGTTTCTCGGCATTGACTGTTTCTTACTAGTGTCTTGGAAAAAGCTTGAATCTGTTTGTTGTCTGTCGGCTTGTTGTTCGTGATAGGGTACATCGGCTTGTTATTTGTGATACGGTCCACCGTGTTTGAAATCCTGTGCTAGTTGAGATATACTGGATTACTGTTATATTGTTTTTTTCTGGCTTAGTTATTGTTGTAATATCTGTTCTCTGTTTTGTATTTGTTCTTGATGAGTGGTATAGTTCTGGCTGGATTGTTTTATAGTTTGATTGAGATCTAACACCTGTTGCTGTAATCTTGTGATTTTATTGGTCTGCTTTTTAGCTAGTTGACAGCGGACATGCTGCCTTTCACGCTCTTTTTCTCTAATGTTCATGTTATTGGTCTTGTACATGTCCGAGATATTATACTCGTTTAATACATAGTAAGAAGATTTATGTTTGAAACTTATTATAATCTCAGGTAGTTCTTTGACGATACGTTTAAAATGAGAAGTGTTGATGGAACTGATATTAGTTGTAGAGTGAATTTCTTGGTATTAATTTTTTGACAGAGTAGATATGATACTAGATGCCTTGCTGATGTCTGCTGCGTGTAGTTGACTGGTAAGCTGGGCCACTGGGTCAGATGAACTATGCTTCTGGCCGTGTTGCCATAGATGATATAGTAGTATTGCGGCTTATTTGTAGGCTTTTATTGTCTGAGGGGCGTACGGACAGAGAACGTCACTATTATGGGTGTTAGATCTGGTCAAATCATTGTCTCCGCTGTTTGCTCTGTCGTTCTCTTTTGGATCGTCACGTCTAGTGTTAGAGGGACCGGGAGTGGCTCTGCGTGGATCCGTGATGTCTGCTATTCCTCTTCCAAGTTCCGGGACGTACGGTGTGATGTTGTTATCAGCAACTGACGTTCTAGACTCGGAAGTTTGAATCTGATAAGTTCGGAAGATGATGTCTGATGGGGTAGTGTTCGACGCGTTCAAGGATTGAGAGTTGGATTAAAAGAAGTTTCTGACTTCTGACTTTTTATTTGGTGTTTAGGGTGTTCTGCTGGTGGCGAATAGTCCCTTTCCGGAAGGCACAGCCAGATGTGTAGTAAAATAACAACAAAATGACGCGTCTTTGTGATTACGGGACGCAAATATAACACTTGTGAGGAGGTTATTATGAGCGACTTAATCCCTTCTTTGGACTTGTCGAAGATGTAGGTGAGGTGGTACTTTCTGTAATACTGGCGGTTGTGCCTATTGGCCATGAAGATACTAATACTGCACTTGGGGAGGCGCACTCGTGGTGAAGACGCTCGAGGTGCACTCGCGGCGAAGATGTTTGAGGTGCATGATGTTTGAAGCCTTCACCGTCGACCTCGTAGTACTTGAGGATAGTAAGCTTGTTCTTGTTCTTTCTCAGGGATATAGATCTTCTTCTTGCGCTTCTTGCCACCACCACGCAGGCGGAGCACTAGCTGGAGGATAGATATTATAGTCCGAAGAAGTACAGCCGTCCTCGAGCTTAGATGTTGCTGGAAATACCCCCCTGTCCTGGATCTTGGACCTTGAGGGTCTTGACAAAGATCTTTATCTTGATGAAGGTCTTGAAAAGACTTGTCTTCCTTTTCATGATGATTGATAAACGTAGATGACGGAATGGTATCTAGAATGCGTGTTTAATGAAGATAATAGGTAAGATGCGTGTTCCCGCAGACTGCGGTACGCCACACAGGAGAGAAAAAACGACACTCCGAAGATCGTCAGGACATGCTACCATGTTTGCTCCGTACTGGAGCGAACGGGTCTAGGATCTATCTCTAATCGGACGTAGGAGGAGCAAATGTAGGCAAAGCAGATGATGATCTTCAATTGTAACTATCTAGGGTCTCGTAGAAGATGTAATGCAACTAATGGACGAATGAGGAAGGCGCTGTGTGCCCGCTGCAACAGCCCGGGTCTGATTTCAGGCTTTTGTTGTTTAGTCTTGTACCATCTCTGACGGCATGCCAGAGGAATCACCATTGTAGTCCAGATTGAGTTGAGATGTATCGTCCCGAGTGGATGAGGATCACGAGAATTCAGCGGCCCACGCACGCAATTCAAGGCCGGAGGTGCTTGGAAAGGAACTAAGAAAGCCCCTGCTCAAGCCCTGAAAAGGCACGCCTGGAAAATCATTTAGGCACACCTTTAATGATCTCAGGGACCTTTAATACCACCACGAGTGCATAGCTTGCTCCTGGAACCCCCTTCGTCAGACAGGAAATAATATCTTATTAAGGTGGCATCAAACAAGGCATATGCGACGTTTGGATGCCGCGTAATTTGGGCAGGTTGGATACGAACTTGCTTCTTACATTTAAGTACAGTATTATAGTTATATCACCCTCCTACAATGACGTGATATGTTCTGGATGAGTACATAGATAAAACATGATAACAGGATGGTATATATCATCCACGTCGTTTGTTGGGTTGTGATGATATTATGCACCTGTCCCCGAATTTGGTATATAGAATAATGCTTGTCTGACTCAGCTTTCTTCATCAGTATCACCTAAGATGACGCATTCTGTACGTGTAAGTGCCCAGGCATTTATTAAACATATTGTGGAAGCAATATGATGATATTGTGTGTGTCCAGACTAACTAGCTAACTACGCGAGGAGGTGACTGGGTGGCTAGGTGACTAGGTCCGAGATCACGTGATCTCCTTTCACACATATCACATAAGAGTGTGTTAATAACTTGATGATAAGCCTTGCATAATACTCCAGATTCATGTCATCGTCATTTTTACGCGTACTAAGGCTGCAGAACATGTGCCTTCAACTCAGCCCCTGTACCGTGGATCAGACATCGTGTACTAGGTAACATACTTTACATGGAAAGTGGCATGATAATGTAGCATCTGACTAGGTAAATGTGGAGGGTGACAATCGCCAAAGGAATGCTTTGATTGTAAGATGGGAGTGTAACTTACAATCAGAAATTTTCATACTATAGAACATTCTGCTCAAGACTGTGCACAGTCAATGAAGTTTCCTTGTGACTGAAAGACCACAATGATGGACTAACAGGCTGTTTCGTGAAGCGAATGAGATGCTATGGTAATTATCACACGTCACGATCTTACGGATAGTGTATCTCCCGCTTGAATTTCACTGTAGTACTGCTCATTATATGTAGCTGCCTGGAAACTAGTGAGTATGGGGGTGGGTGTGCATTGTACCATTTATCCTGCTCAAGTATTAGTATTCACCATATATACATCTCATAATAGATCCATCCGCCTACAGGTCATGAACGATACATGATGACAAAGCTTTGATCATTTCGAGGAATATTCCTTCTCTAGGAACATCTAACATACCTTTTTTTCTGGCAGTGATGTATTCAGTGTTATATTATCTTCAAAAGGCGTCGCCAGTTTGTATCCATAGTCAAGAAATATCTTCATGGTGTGTACAGTAGTTTGTAAAATCACCATGCCTGCCCCTTGACGCTCACCTATTTTCTCCCAATCCCTAGCCTTCCTGCGCTAGTCCTAATTCGTTTAATTGTAATCAGAATCCTTGGCACTATTGGTTCCGTTTCGTAAATATAATAATAGCCTTACTTCATTGTTGTTACAGTACGTGTAAAATGATTGCAGAAACCAAGAAGCTTCTATGGCCGGAACAACGTTAAACGTGACTCCTGCCCGCGCCGGCCACCCAGTACACCGCCCAACGCGTTTCTATATGCAACCACTCTTTCTATCAAAGGATGTGAATTAGAGTAATACAATGATTCTAGGGCGGTGTGCTAGGGGTGGCCGACGCGGGCGGGTGGCCGGTGCGGCCGGGAGTTACGTTAGATGTCTACATTAGTAGTAATGTTTTTCAGTTCTTTCTTAAAGCCCCCTCACAGTTCCTATACCATGGTATAGAAAATATTAGAGCGATGTCTCCCCACCTATCGCCATCACAGATTTAGCTTATCTGTGATATGCAGTCAGTCGCGGCATGTCAATCTCGAAAGCCAGTAAAGCTGCCGAGGGCAGGAAGGAGGCGGTCATAAAGCTCCCAAACATAGACTAGGCCAGTAAATAATGACAGCAATCATGCTAAAGACTTTAGGCGAATAGCTCCTGCAGAGCGTTGTACCTAGACGGAATGGCAATTTCTATGGAACGTGATAGGGCCTCCGAGTAGCAACTAGCAGGGTAGTTAAGCCGGGTGTTTTTCTTGACTGGCGGGTTCAAAGAGACAGTTTAACAAGAGAAAAATCGCGAATGAGCCTTATGACCCAGGCCTCTTCTGCATGGGAATTACAAAAGACAGCGAACTGAAAAAGGAATGATTTGATTATACCATGCTCTTATTGTTATGTACAAGAGACCGCCACTATTGATATATCCCAGAGCAAGTGAAGTCTCCATGACGGTATGGCAAAGTAGAAATAGAATACAGTACTAACCCGAAATATCTTTTATAGTCTGCCTTTGTCTAACTATTTGCTGAAGAGAAGGATTCTTTGACTAAATCCGACTATGGTTCATTCAACTAGGGCAATAACAGTGTCTTTGTTATCATGTTGCTGTTGTCCAACGACAGGGAATAAAGGGAAACAGCCGGATTATAGAAGCTTCCCAGAAGTACTTTCTTTCGAGACGTAGCCTGCTCGCACTCGTCCAACTCCCAGTCTTTTATATTCTTCCTCTCCCCATTTCTTTTGTACGGCAAGTATATAGTATTCCTTGTTAGGGTCATCCTCATCGTCATCTTCACTCACTGCGATGACGACACAGTTTCGAGACTCAACCTCGGCCGCCGAACCCATGTCGAAATGTAGGATGCCGACTTCGACTTCCTTTGTAACTTCGACTCCCTTTGTATCGGTGAATATTATATACTCTCCATCCCTTTCTCGCGTATAACAATCTTCAAACTGTCGAACTTCGATATTGATGCCACGCTCGGAGTTGTCAAAGCTTAGGCTTTGGTGCTTTGGAACTTGAAGATCTGATTGTATCAGAAAGTCAATTTTATCATGATAAAGCATCCAAGACCACGACGGCACATGATCATTATCGTGAAAAATTTGATCATTCTCCATTCCAGCCCGCTTCCACAAGAGGAGCCGAGGAAGAAAGCAACAGAAGACTCCGTATCTGATTTCAGTAGATAGAGCTTTCTTAATACGCTCAGCTATGCCGGAAAATGCAACTACCTTATCCTTCTTTGGGAATGTAAGATCACGACGAGAATAATCCGTAATAAGCTCTTGGAGAAATAAGGCTATCGATCTATGACCTGAAAATAAAAGCCGAGTAGGAAATTGCGGGTCAAGTAGGAATGATCTAGTAAGGGGACTAACACAACTAGTAGGTTAATTGACATTTCTCTGGTTTTAGGGAAGTGGACTAACCAGCTTAATATGCTAAAATTCTCGCAACGAACTCCCTCTCCACATTCCCAGTATGTCTGTTGTGCAGTGAAATAGATAGTTCGGCGAGAAAGTACTCTTTCTTGCAACACCCAGGCTCGTTTCTGCAGTTGGCCTTCATCAACAAGCTTACAAAAATCATCAACGATTTTTTGATCAGAACTGACTGCCTCTGATTGACTGAAAACCTCAGTGCGATTGAGGAAGCCATCATTCCAACTGGATGCTGAACTTGACGCGATCGTGCAGTATGCAGAGGCAAATACATTATCCATCCTTGTACCTTCCTCCTCCCAGTCTTTCTGGTCACCTTGAATGATGCAGAGAGCATCAATCCAAAGATACTGTTTATTCAGTTCTCGAGTCACTGTAATAGCGTCCTGGAAAACCTTGGGAAGGCTGTGATAGCTAAACCCCTTCAACCGTTTTGGGTGGTTTTGAGATGTGGTACAGAATCGCTCCTTCTCCTCATCGGTCGGTGTGCCCCAGCAGTGCGATAGCGTTATATACTCAAATGGATGTGTTATGTTTGCAGAAAGCTGAAGTTCAAGCTGATCTGAATGATCCGTTCCAACGTAAATAACGCGCTTTGGCACGATCTGACGCCTGTGTTGCATGCATGAATGCTGCTTGTCACACACCTTAAGCCATTGGCGAAGCAAATCAAAGCGATTGATAACTGTCAGACAATGAAACTTTTCTCGTGCCTTGGATTCCTCTTGCACTTCATTGTCTAAAGATGAGTTAATGGGTGAATGATATGAACAATATCAGAGAGATGCAGTATTACCTGGGTAGTTTGAAGGCTGTATGACTGGAGATGTGAGTCTATCCACGCTAAGGTATGCATCCTTGTTGGCTGGGTCAACCCAGTAATAGCCAGTGACCTCGCGCTAAGATTTCTTTAGTTGTGTCAAAGTATATCAACAGAAGAAAAGGCATTGAAAGCAGACATACCTCAGAAATACTTTTAGAGTGATCAAGCAGCTGGCTCCTGACCTCAAGATCATGACGGCATTTCCATGTATCCTGCATTTACAATTACTATAAATTAGAGAACATGGATATACCCGTCATGCGAGTGAAGAGACATTCCACAGGAAGGTTGACTTACCTGCTATTCCAGTATCATATCCTAGTCAGCTATTATCGCACCTGATGTACTTTCTACAGGAAAATTGACTTACCGGCTATTCCAGTATTATATCCCAGTCAGCTATTATCACGCCTGAAATACTTTCTACAGGAAGGTTGACTTACCGGCTATTCCAGTATCATATCCCAGTCAGCTATTATCGCGCCTGATATAATCCTTATAGGAAGGTTGACTTACCTCCTATACCAGTATCATATCCCAGTCAGCTATTATCACGCCTGATATACTTCTCATAAGAAGGTTGACTTACCTCCTATACCAGTATCATATCCCAGTCAGCTATTATCGCGCCTGATATAATCCTTATAGGAAGGTTGACTTACCTCCTATACCAGTATCATATCCCAGTCAGCTATTATCACGCCTGATATACTTCTCATAAGAAGGTTGACTTACCTCCTATACCAGTATCATATTCCAGTCAGCTATTATCGCGCCTAACCTGCTTTCATTCATGAAAAGATTGACTTACTACCTATAGCAGTATCAAATTCCAGTCAGATATTATTGCGCCTGGTGTACTTTCCACAGAAAGATTGACTTACTAACTATAGCAGTATCAAATTCCAGTCAGTTATGATCATATCTAATATACTTTCCACAGAAAGATTGACTTACAAACTATACCAGTATTATATTCTAGTCAGCTTTTACCATGTCTGGTATACTTTCTATATATAGAAAGATTAACTTACCCGCTATACCAATATTAAATTCCAGTTAGTTATTATCACGCCTGACATGCTTTTTATAAGAAGATTAACTTACTACCTATACCAGTATCATATCCCAGTCAGTTATTATCGCGTCTGATATACTCTCTACAGGAAGCTTGACTTACCTGCTATATCAGTATCATATCTGAGTCAGCTATTATCGTGTCTGATATACTTTCTACAGGAAGATTGACTTACCCGCTATACCAGTATTATATTCCAGTCAGCTATTATTGTGCCTGGTATACTTTCTATCTATAGAAAGATTGACTTACCACCTATACCAGTATCATATCCCAGTCAGCTATTATTGTACTTGATATACTTTCTATAGAAAGATTAACTTACCATCTATACCAATATCATATCCCAGTTAGTTATTATCATGTCTGACGTGTTTTCTATTTATAAAAAAATTAACTTACCCGCTATATCAGTATCATATCCCAGTCAGCTATTATCACGCCTGGTGTATTTTCTATCCATAGAAAGATTAACTTACGACCTATAGCAGTATCATATCCCAGTCAGTTATTATTGCACCTGATATACTTTCCACAGAAAGATTAACTTACAAACTATACCAATATCATATCCCAGTTAGTTATTGTCAAATTTGACATGCTTTCTATCCATAGAAAGATTAACTTACCCGCTATATCAGTAGCAAATCCTAGTCAGCTATTATCACACCTGGTATACTTCCCATTTTTAAGATTGATTTACATCCTATACAAGTATTATATCCCAGTCAGTTATTATTATGCCTGATATACTTTCTATTTATAGAAAGATTAACTTACCTGCTATAACAATATCATATTCCAGTCAGTTATTATCATGCCTGATATACTCTTTATGGAAACATTAACTTACAAACTATACCAATATCATAGCCCAGTCAGCTATTATCATATCTGGTGTATTTTATATCCATAGAAAGATTAACTTACCACCTATACCAGTATCATATCCCAGTCAGCTATTATCATGCCTGATATATGATTAACTTACAAACTATACCAGTATTATATCCCAGTCAGTTATTATAGCGTCTGGTATACTTCCTATCTATAGAAAGATTGACTTACCCGCTATACCAGTATCATAGTCCAGTCAACTATTATTGCGCCTGATATATTTTCTATAGAAAGACTGACTTACATCCTATACCAGTATTATATTCTGGTTAGCTATTATCATGTCTGATATACTTTCCATTTATAGGAAAATTGACTTACCATCTATACCAGTATTATATCCTAGTCAGCTATTATCATGCCTGATATATTTTCCACAGCAAGATTGACTTACATCCTATACCAGTATTATATCCAAGTTAGCTATTTTCACACCTGATATCCCTCCACAGAAAGATTGACTTACAAACTATACCAGTATCATATCCCAGTCAACTATTATCACACCTGATGTGCTTTTCATAAGAAGGTTGACTTACCTCCTAATAGAAGTCCGTGGCTGTGTTATTTAAAAGTGTAGTTCATATAAATGATGCGATACTTACACTCTTATAACATATCAGCTCTCCAGTCCACTTTTTGCATTGTGAAGCTTAACGCTTACCTTAAACCCCCTATGTATCCAGCCTGAGTTGCCCCGCCCGAAAGTCATTATAAGTCAGTAAGTCGGAAAAGTCGTTGCGAGTAGACCTTGTGCTATTCACTGATTTTGTGGATGAAATTTGTCTGGCCGATGTTCTGGTCGTTCTTATGCGAGGCCAGCTGGCTAGGCCAGACTGACTAATGCGGGGTCACGGCGGCAAGAAAGAACTTATCATTGGTTGGTTAAACGAGTTCCGGGTGAGATGTATTACATCTACAGAGTACTAACCATTTCTCCGTGGTTCTCTCTTGATAGTGACCGTCTACGGTGGTTAATAGCGGCCATCGGGCAAGAACGATTTCATGGTGTTTACTGCCGGCAGAATTAGTCTGTAGCTGATTGGATCATGTAGCTTATCTAACATACCTATCTATATGAAGCTGTACGTACACCATTAGATGACTTGCTTGGCTTCGCCATATAGATGGCTACTAGTCCTGAGCACCACGAAGAGGTGCAAGTCTTGCCCAGGATATTATACACAAGTATCCCATACAACTGGAGTGCAGGTGCAGGTGCAGGTGTATGTTAACAATTAAGGAAACAGTTGTACTTACCTAGGCTTACTCCGTCCAAGGATCCCAGTCATCCAGCACCTCCTGCCTGGCCGGACGGCGAGGAGGTGCCGGATGATCATCATCATCAATAACAATGGGCTCATCGTCAACGATAGTAATGACCGGCACCTCCTCGACGTCCGGATCCTCCAATCAAGGAGGAGGATCCGGACGAGTCAGAGATACCGGTACAACAACCACTTCTTCTTCTTCTTCTTCCTCCTCCCCCTCTTCCCCCACGACGATAGGATCCGTACAAGAGGCCCCCGGTGCGGGCAATCCCCTGCCGATGACAGGCATAGGAGGCTGAGCTTCCCGTAAGACACCCCATGCTGAATCTCGGACGGTACAGCTGCTACCAGCATCAGGCCATTTGCAGTTGGCGCAAATACCGCCGAATGCGCCTGGTAAATGGTGATATTCTGGGAAAACGCCCCCCGTACCATCACGGCATCTGGAACACGGGGCTGGCGGACGAATTCCCTGAGATTGTATCAGCAGGGCATTGATGTAGCTTGCTCGGTGCATTGTAATCTGGTGAGTATGGATCCGGCCGTGTCGGAACTCAATAGATTGTGCCCCTGGCCGGGCAAGCACTTGCAGTCCTACATCGGTATGCACAAACGGTCTCAGTCGACCTAGATCCCTTGCAGGGATTGTAGGATTGGCACCGACCGGGAGCCCCTCGTACAACGACGCCCAGTATTGTTCGAGGTCGGGGGGGGGGGGGGGGGCGGGGACGGGCGGACGGCGACCGGCAGGCAGGTTGGGAAGAGGGGGAGGAGCGCCAACACGGCGGTTGTTGGTGTTGTTGTTGTCATTGTACGGACATATTTTAGAGTCAGTTTTGTCCTGTACAATAGAGATAGGATAGATAGATAGGAAACTAAGCTCAGTAATCTGTTTTTGATCATCTAACACGTACGCAGACATGGTGGTGGTGGTAGTAGTAGTGGTAGTAGTAGTGGTAGTAGCAGTGGTAGTAGTAGTAGACGTGTTAGTGGAAGGCAGAGGTGGAAGATAGAGATTACTTAGTAGATTTAAACTAACACTGTATTCACTGTTTTAACTATTTATTTCCTATTTTGTATGTACAGAGGCCTCATTATCGTGGACCCTACTCTGCCTGCCCTAGCCTGCCGTACGAACCCACGATCCTGCTATCTAGTAGAGTAGGGTATAATCAAAGACCTGATGGCCTATATTCGGCCGCCCGATTCTTGTCATCCTCCCTGATCACATATCTCTTCCTCGTACGATGAGGTGGAGAGGGAGACTGGGATAGCTGATGCTTTAGTGAAGTATCCAAAGCCTCTATCTCAGTATCCAGAGCATCAAGATCATCCTGATCTTCTTGTACGGTCGATCCCTCTCGTACAACTGACTTCTTCTTTTCAATGAGTTCTCTTTTTTGATCTTCTTCTCCTTCTTAATCTTGGTCTCCTCTGCCTCATCTGTAGTAGAGGAAGGTACTGTACGACGCTGAATGATCACATAGACCTGGTATGATCCATGGGTATGTGTGAACCACTTCTTCAAGAAGTCTAGGACCTTCACATTGCCTCTGGCTGTTGGAGACAGAAAGACTGGTTGCTTCTGTATAATCCCTGTTGATAAACGGAAGCGATTCCCAGTGCTGCGTATATATGTACAGCCAGTCATTGAGGGAAGCAGTTCATCTCGGAGGAAGTCATTGAGGCCATGAAGTATGTAGTTATTGATATAAGTCTGTACCTGTTCTGTAGGATATTAAGATTAGCATCATACGAGTGTTCAGAATAAGAAGTCAAATCTAGTAGAGTATATGTTATAATTGGAATACTATCTTTAGATTCCCCTTCCTGTACGTTGCACAGATAGAAATGAATAATAATCTTTATAATAGCTGGCTCTTTTGAAGTCTTCTTGTGTAAGAGCGCATTCTGGCGGACATTCTCTCCTCCAAATACTGCCGTACGAGGAGCAACACCAGATGAGGTAGTCTGTATGTACAAGCCAGATTGTACAGGTTGTGGCTCAGGTGATGCAGTAAGATCAACATGAGCAGTCCGCTTAGGTACAGGATTGATTGTCTGGCAGGTCGGACACTGTTGATAATGAGCAGGATGAGGTTGGCCAGTAGTAGAACAGTAGTTGGTCCAGGGAAGAGCCATTTTGTACGAGAGATGCCTTGTATGAAAGATGTTGATTTCCATTCTGTACAGGGAAGAGCAGGATCTTAAGTCTTTGAATAAGTGGTGAAGTAGAAAGAATAGCAAATAAAGAGTATATAGCCATCACGGATAGCTACTCTGATCCCTGTTGTTCAATCCAATCAAAGGCCCCGGTTGGCGCCTCGGATAGTGTCAGGTCAGGCTTGGCGCCTGATCTTATATGTGTTATCACCCGCTCCCGTAAGCCAAGGTAGATTGTATGAAAAGGGGCTTCCGCTTCATCCGGATGTACTGGTGGTGGCTTTTCAGGGTCAAAGCCCAGCCCCAGCAGGATCCCCTGACACCATTCCAAAGTCTCTGCAGGTAGATATTCAGTCATATCCCAGCCTTGTACGGAGTTCCTTAGCTGCTGGAGAGACTCTTCATGTACAAGAAGACCATGGTTAATTGTATGTTCTGGATGATAATAGTTCATGAACGGTCGACCAGAAATAACATGTGGCCTCTCTCGTTGCTTACGGATGCTGTGTTGGTTCCAGGTGTGTACGTACGACGAGACCTGCGTCCGAAGAATAGGCATGTAGACTGCGTACAAAGTAATCTGATCTGGAATCATATCTTTAGAGAAGTCTCCTACTTCAATCAAGACCTTGAAGTAGTTATATATTAGTTAGTACAGAGATATTCAAGGATTGGTCCGTCTGTACGTACGCGATATCGAAAAAGTAATGATTTACTTAGCTGTGCCCACCAAGCCTCAATTCTCTGATTTACAGTACTGGATCCAAAGATATAACACCGTGTTACCTCAATCTCTGGCTCGTACGCTCTTCGAAGATAGCAGTGGGCTTTAGCAAGCAAAGATGTCTCCGATCCATAGTCTGAACGGATCTTATTGCAGATAATCTTCCGTTCATGTACAGTGTCAAGATATTGCCGTACAACACTGACTGACGTACGAGTATCGATGCCAATATAGATCCAGATGATGTAGCGAGAGTACACGTCAATGGCCACGTAGATTTAGATGCCGTACGGATCTAGCTTCATATAACCGTCCACGGACCAGATATGATCTGGTCCAGGGACTACATATGAGCCACGACTTCGCTGCATGTCATTCTTCCGTTGTTGTATAGCCTCAGGTGCAATCATACGGTAGATATTATATAGCCGATATCTGGAGATAGAAAGACCTCAGTTAGTAAAATATCTATATATAACTGCTCTCTGTACAGACCTTGGAATAATAAGACGTTCACCACGCATATAAGCAAATAAAAGCTCTCGTCCGTAGCCTTAGATAATCCCTTCATTAAATGCTTCAAGCAGATGCTTTGTGGCTATATCATCCTGGAGTTGACACTCACTAGAATCATCTGTTCGTCGGACGAGGCCTTGCTCCGTACAGATGCGTCGAAGTGTTCGTGCAGAGACTGTGTAACCTTCATCTTATACAGTACATAAAATCTCTGCATCAGAGAGGCACCTCTCAAAGAACAACTCCTTGATCCGGCTGTGTAGAGAAGAATCAGTAGTAGCCGTACAATCACACTTACTAACTCCCCAAACACTCAACCGATCCTTGATTGTACGCTCACGGACTCGTACACGGTATGTTGCTTCGATATAGGAAGCAATATCACTTGTAGATTGATTCTGATGGAATAAATCACTAATTTTAGCCTTGTACGGCTCTAGATCAAATTTAGGACGTCCCATGATCAGGAATATAGATAGTAAAGCACTGTATATAGAGAAATGATCAACATCATCTATTAAGATGCTTAGTATAGCATGCGGTGAGGGCAGCGGTGAGCGTACTTAAACGTGGAGAATCGTTTTTGCCCGATGGCCGCTATTAACCGCCGTAGACCGTCCTTTTATCCACCCATTTCGCATATCTTTCCGTAACAACAAAAGGTATCTAACAAGTTTCCCTTTTCTCAGTCCTATCTGTCTGAAGCGGAGCCCTGGCCGAGTCATTGAATCCCAAATCTTCAGGCGGAGCTGACAAAGCTAATTTCAACTGACTAGTTAACATAACTAACTAGTTTGTTAACCAGTTAGCTAATCATCAATTGCTGTTAAGTTATCACGCTTGCCGATTACATCATTTTTGCGCTGATTATCAGAACACCACGACTTGGTGCATCACAGCCAGTGGGTCTCTGTGAAGGTCAGAGCAGAGTCAGATGATAGCACACTTATTGTAACCTATAGCTTTTGGCCCTTTACTCAGTAACGGATGAACTGTACACTAATATCAAAAGTGACAACTGCTCGAAAAGCCTACGGTTAATGCGATCGCTATTAGCCTTCGACCGATGCATGCTGCCGTGTCGGGGAAGGTTTGCGCTGACCGGCCTAGTAGGAAGTGTACCAACAATGTCAGTTTTGCTATTCCAGCCTATTATTCAAAACTACGGCCATTAGGTACTCAGTTCAAACAGTTCAAGAGCGCTAGACTCAGGCACGGGTGTTGAGATGCTTAGATGACACATTGCCCGTAACTAACTAGTTATCTCTAGGTACATTTGCCTGAGCTACCGGTGCCCCAAGCATCTAAAAACTGTGTGTGGCCATACCGCCCCCTCTAATACAGTATTTGATTTGTTTCGTCAATACAGGACAAGTCGGTACCCGCCAAGAATCCTTGCTCTCAGTCTAAACACATACAGACTAATATAGGTGTCTTAGGTTTCGGGAATAGAGTGGAAGACTCTAGGGTAGGCAGGGTGGTTGTGCAAGACACTGTACGCGGATATTCTTGGACCATTTTACTACCATCCTACGCCGCTGCATGTAACTGACCCAGGGGAGAATAAACCGGATACAGGAGTATTTTCGGCAGATCGGGTCCGAATAGGCACCTTGATAGACTGGGGATTGTAGTATGTCACACATCCGCGGAGTGGAAAATACATTATGTATGCGTATCAGTTGCGCAGGGGAAAGTTAAATCCTCTGGGACATTTCCAGAGTTTGGCCAAACCGGCTAACACAACGGAGAAAGTTTGAGAACGTTACATGCTGTGCAGACCCTAATGGGGTCAACCGTGGTTCTATAAAGGAGACGATCAAGGTGAGCACATTGTTTCGCTGTTTATTGGTTCAATGAAGATGGCGAAATCATCCTCGTGGGCCCATCTCCCGCTCCCAACGCGTCTGTTGACAGCCTGAATACAACGATGAACTGTACCATATTCGATCTTGGCTCAACCCGACAAGCTTCACTACATAATACTGCCTTCTAGCCAGTTGAATAGGGTTTTGCGGTTACGACTGAAGCAAGCAATACCCATAGAGAAACTAGCTAATCATGGAGAATACGCTGTCTGCATCTGCGGCTCTACCTTCACTTCATTAAAACGAACTGATACTGATTCTGTTCTTTTAAATACGCATCATTACATATTTCGGGCCTATTAGAGTTCTCGCTTGTCCGGTCAACAGTTTGGCACCTAACATCTAGACCAGACGGGTCGATCCTCGGCTGGTGGGAAAAAGAAAGAGACGAGAAAGGTAGCCACGACTGCGGTTTCCACCTGCGCTTTCCGTTAGTGAAATTCTGTTGAGAGAGAACCTGATTGAGGGTTTGGTTCTTCTTGAACCATTAGACATCACTCTTTCGAGAACTAGCTTCACACTCTTTCAGACGAAGTTACATCTCTATACTTTCGTTGAAGAACTCAGTCTTAAACTATATATTCACCCTCAGCTCAGCTACTCTTTTCCGTAAACATTATCTACTTCACTTGAACTATTCTGGTGTATCATCCTTCGATTGTTTAGCCCTCTAAGGTATCAGCAATGGGTGACATCAAGATGAGCTCCTTAGGATTCTACTACAGAATAGCTACTAATTATTGCCTGGACAGGATTGTGACTTCATTCCTAAACCTCCACCACACGATGCAGTATCCACCTTGGCCAGAACAAGCAACCTTCAGGATATCCTCTACCGATTCACACAACTACAGCGATGTGGTGAGGACCATCCCACCACCCTCTTCTCTATCTTCAATCCCGGAATTTAACCGAGGATCTCAAGGGCAATGCGTCTCATGCGGTGTCCGCCCACCGAGCGGAGCATATTTTGACTAGCAGGAAGATGGCAATTCCTAGGCTAGCAGAAGGCTTGGAAACATTCTCAACCCCTGGTAGATTTCATCGTCGCCACGTGAGCCGAGCATGCGAATCCTGCAGACAGAGAAAGACAAAGTGCACAGGGGATAAGTCCGGTTGTCGCAACTGCCGTGAGGCTGGTATCATCTGCTGCTACACAGATGGTAAAAGGGAGAAATCCAAGAGGTGTGTTTTCATCTGACTAGCTAGATCCTCAACTGATTTTAGAGGAATTGGTACACCAAGGCAATTGGCTAGTTTGGAGGCCAAAATACGGACTTACGAAGACGCTTTGAAGAACCTGAGCAACAGATTTGGGCTTACGAATGAGCAGCTGATGAACCTGGCATTGACAGTGGTACAGACACAGACTCCTCGCATCTCTTTAATCTTAGCCATATCTCTTGTTCCGATCGCGCCCGCTATTTCCACTTCGCTCTGTCTACTCCAAGATTTTATACTGACTAGAAGTAGGAGGAATCCTCCAGTCCTGCCTTGCCCCCTGATGGGCAAACACCCTTCCTCGGAAATCAAAGACCTCTTTCAACTCCCAACTCCCAGTTGCCACCATTCGTTGACTCCAGCCACTGCGTTGATTGTATCAGTGAAGACTTTAATAAGGACGAAGTTTCCCAGGCTACGGGCTACATTGGCCAAAGCTCCGAAATTGCGTGGATACACTCATTAGGCCGAGATGTCAACGATGGGACTGGATATGGGACTCCTAAAGAATCTATATCACTGCAAAACTCTGATGATAGTCTTATATCCGCTTCGAATTACCATGTTGATGATCAAGAGCTACCAAGTATCGAGCGACAAGAGCCTTATGCACTTCCGTCAAAGGATATAGCTTCAAAGCTCTATAACTGCTATTTGGACCGGGTGCATCCTTCTTTTCCAATCATTGGGACCACACCATTCGGAGCCCAGTTCCGTGCATTCTTCAACAATGCCAATTTACGCCCAGGAAACAAGTGGCTCGCAGTCTTAAACGTAGTCTTTGCAATCGCTGCTAGGTATGCTTATATCTCTGAAGCAGAATGGCAATTGAACAAAAATAATCACTGGCTGTATTTCTCAAGAGCAACGGTCTTGAGTATGGATAACGGGAGTTTTCACCATCCTGACCTACAGCAACTACAAGTGGAAGGGCTAACAGCTTTGTACATGCTTTCTTTGGGGCATATCAACCGGTACGTACATCTATGTCCATATATACAAGTCACCTATGCAAGTCAGTGCTTACAAATGATTCAAGTGCTTGGAGAATTTGTGGAGGTGCTGTTCGTGGAGCCCTTGGTCTTGGGTTGCATCTGCGCAACATGAGCAAGTCGGCTTCGGATACTTCCAGGGAGATCCGGTATCGCGTATGGTGGTCCCTTTACATGCTTGATCACCGACTTAGCATAATCACAGGACGGCCGTCTTTCATAGATGATACTATATATACAATACCCCTGCCTGTTCCTGTTGACGAAGAGAATTTCGAAAAGGATGATGTGACAAACTGTCTCCGTCTGTCACACGGGACTGAAGGCAACGGTTTAAGTTTTGATCTGAAGTCCAAACACTCAATAGCTACCCCAAAGACTACAGGCGCAACTGCCAGTCCTCCTTGTGGATCATTGCACTTCCTCCATGTCATTCTGCTCACGCTAATATCAAAGAAAATGACAGCCAAGCTCTACAGTCCCGGAGCAGCGCGCACATCTTGGATGGGGATAGAGTTTGCCATACAAGGTCTCACCTCTGACATCGAATCTTGGCTCTTGAGTCTTCCTAAAGATTATGATTTTACATCAACACAGTCCTCACAGGTCACTCATTCAATATCTACCCACCGGATGAGCCTGGCATTTTTATTCTATAGCACCAAAATTGGCATAACACGGCCATGTCTTCGCCGTCCTAATCCTGCGGAGCAGGAAGGCAACGTTTCAGATGAGAAAATGCAGGATTTCTGTCACAGAACAGCAGCTGAGTGCGTGGAATCGGCTTGCCATATGCTAAGGCTATTTCCCGAAGGACTAGATGCTGCTGCACTGTACAGAATGTCACCATGGTGGTGTATACTGCATTTCCTTGTTCAAGCAACCACAGTCCTTTTAATAGAGCTGTCTTTTGGTGTTTGTCACGTTCCAGAGAAAGCTTCAATGGTTTCTAAGGCGACTGAAAGAGCCCTTCAATGGCTTGCTATACTAGCAAAGACCAACGCAGCCTCAGAGAAAGCTCGCTTACTATGCCAATGCCTTCTACGCCGTATCGAACAATATGCAGGAGTGAATTTACCTATTCACCCTATCCCAAGTGATGTCGGCATTTCTGTTCCGCCTGGACCTAGACCAACCGGACTTTCGTCTACTCCGGACCCGCGCCCCAGTGAATTTGGAAGCGGTCCTTCACCGTTTTCCGGTTCGTCAAATTCTCTGGAAGCCCATGTAAAGTGCCAACCTTCTCCAGAAAGTCCTGGTCTGATGCAAATGGACAAGGATACCAACGCTCAGGATACTTACGATGAGGGCCTTCCTTATGATCCAAGCACAGGGCAGATTATAGGGTCTTTCTTCCCGCCTAATCTAAGTCTCGGCTTGGAAATAAGTGATTATTTCTTGGAGGAAGTGTGACATTTGCCTACACCTCGCGATCAGGCATGTAATCAAAGGGCTGCCCTATATCAGGCCTCCCAGACGGTCTCCTAGTCTTGCTGTGAAAGTTCGAGCATCGCGGCCCTGTCCCTATATAGAGCCGTGATGGGTACCCAGATTGCAATGAATGTATCTCTTCACGGTGTTGACATAAAGTACTATTATAAGAATTGAAGTCTTTGACTTAGTTCCACCACCCTTTAATTCAATTGATCCTAAATGCTTTGGTCTATCGAGTCCTCTAATTTCCACCAAAGGCTTTCTCATTCAGCCAGCCGTCATAACTGCCCAATTGATCCAGCTTATACCTCCCCGCGTCAAGATGAAATACCAGATATCCATTGATAAACTCGTTGACTGTCTTTAGCAGTCTCGGATTTCCCTCACATGCAGCACGCAATCTCCGGATACTACCCAAGCACTGATCCACTCTCCCCTGGAAAGCCTCATACTCAGAAATCCCCCTGCAAACAGAGGTCTGCCTGATCCACGTCCCTGGTTCATTTCCCAAAACAGACTCCTTATAAAAAGACAACACATCATTCATCTGCTCAATAATCCCCGCTAAATCAGGGATCAACGTAAAGTAATCCTCCAACTTCCAGTCACTCTCAGGGAAGCAGAGAAACGCGTAAGCTTCTCCAATACCACTTTTTTGTCGCAAGAAGTCCGGAAACAACTTGGTAGAAGGAGAGACCACGAAATCACCCATTCGCTCTGCCTCCACGATATTGATGCCCACAGAGTCCATGGTTGATTTGAAGATCATGTCGCCGGCATACCATTCATAGTGACTAACTATATCGTGGAGAGTGTCGTATAGGCCCTTGATGTATTGCAGATTGGTGCTGGATTTGCCAAGAAAGACGGAGCGATAGGATTTAAGCTGCTCGCGAAATTCGGGGTCTGAACATTGGTCGTCGATCGAGAAGACGTATGCTGTTAGGACTCCTATGGAAATCTTTAAATCTCGGGGAAGACTGGGGTAGATGCATCGTGGTAGGACTTCTCCTGTGTCGACGAAGTGGGGGATGGTGTCTTCTGGGAGGCCGGAAGCGGCTGCGAATTTCTTGAAGACCTCGTTTTTGAAGGCTTCGTCGGGCGCAAAAGGTGGGAGGTTGGGGCAGATTTCGTTCAAGAAGGGTGTGATAATTTTAAGGAATTCATCGGGTGATACTGAGGGTTGGGCTTTTGTCATTGTTGCAGTGTGCGGTGCTGATAACCATGGAGTTGTGGGTTGTACTAATAAGTGTTGGGAAGCTATTTAAATATAAGTTAGTGCATGTCTGTCTTTCCTAAATCGGTACTAATGGAGTCTTTCGCAAGGAGGACTTCCCTATGTCATGAGGTTGCCATATCGGATTGATCGCGCATTCTGTGAGACAATCATGGTGTCTGTCGCTTCGATGAAAATTCAATATTGCCATGTCCTTTGATGCAACTGGCAATTTGGGGGAGCCCAGGGATATGCACGCAGCTGTGTTGCACAGACGGGGTGTGAGTAATACTGTCAGAAAATGTAGACATGCAGAAAAGGCTATGCTGTGTGAGATGATATAGATGAAACGATTGGGCCATTATATAGTGTTCATGCGATAGATGTAAAATATAGTAAATGCATAGCATACAGAGAACAGAAAAGAGTCAGTAAGTGTGGGGTCATAGCGATCTGTAGATATGCAATTCTCTCAACATGGTGATATTTTGCGGTCGAATTGAGCAAGGGGGTTTGCGATTGACGTCGCTGGTATTACAGAGCCTTGTATGACGGAGCTGCAACCATACTATTTAAGCACTGTGATAAAATGATCGGCATACAGGATCAGGGTATCTCTCGCGGTCACAGTGGTAGTGTCCTGCAAGGAATATAGAGAGTGATGTGTTTGGTTGCACAACCTCACGGCAGTATCCTCTTCACATTCCTAGTTCGTCCTGTTAGAAAGTTGTCATTGGTAAATTAGATATTGACCACGTCCAATGTCTTATCAAGGTGCAGTCATTCAGGCTCGAGAGTATCTAGTCAAGCTCCCCTCTTTGACAGAGCAGTCAATCCACTATCCTGCAATATTCACCCTGTCTGTCCTCTACCTGCCTCGATTTTTCACATCGCTTCTTCACGGATTGTTAAGAGAATCTGCGCATATTATACTCAGAGCTAAGATGGCGGAAGAAATCGCGATGAGCATGCTTGTGGCAACAGTGATACTCCTGGTATGTTGCCCGAGGCTGTTATCTCCGAGAAGCTGCATAAGCGATCGAGAGAGCTAAGTTCGAGAGTGGCCTATAGTACTTGTCGGCGGTTACTTATAACCTATTTATTCATCCACTGAAAGACTTTCCCGGCCCGCGAGCGCTAGCCGCCAGCAGGATCCCCGTAACCTACGCCTCTCTGAAGGGTATTCAAACACAGTGGCTCCACAACCTTCATCTGAGGTATGGACCAGTCGTACGCGTCGCTCCTAATGAGCTGAGCTTCATCGACGAACAAGCCTGGAAGGATATATATAGCAGTTCACCCACGGTGCCACAAGGTATGAAGAGAGGGTCTGATTTCTTCAGATATCTTGAAGATGATGACAATCGGCCCTCTATCTTAGCAGCCGATGACATAGATCATCCAAGAATTCGGCGAGCCTACGCGCCAGCATTTTCACGGCGAGCCTTAGCCCGCCAGGAACCAATCCTAGCCAAGTATGGTGACGCTCTCGTTGAAACCCTTTCCGGCATGGAAGGGCATATCACAAATATACGGGATATGTTCCATTACACGCTTTTTGAAATTGTTGGGCATTTTCAGTACGGTGAGGAATTGGGCGTCTTACGAGCAGGAGCACGGAAATCGTGGGTACACGGCCAGCCCAGATTGATAAAAGCCTCGAATTTACTATCAGCTCTCGCTGACTTCACCTGGATCAACCTTTTGCTCCGGTGGACCATACCCTGGATGTCAAAATGGTTCCGCAAGGCATACTTCAAGCCTTCGAATGACCTCATAGACCATCGGCTTCAAATCCAAAGCGACGAGCCTGACCTTATTGGTCTTACATTTCGCAACAGTCGCAGCTCAGCTTTGACTGAGAAGGACATTCGTGCCAATGCTCACATCATGATGATTGGAGGAGCAGAAACAACCATGGGCCTCATGACATTCTTGACTGCGTGCCTCCTCCAGCACCCCGAGTGCTTTGCGCGTCTAAAAGACGAGATTCGCACAGAATTCCACCATAAGAGCCAGGTCTCTCTGGAATCGGTATCGAAGCTTGCTTACTTAGATGCTTGTATAAAGGAGGCTTTAAGAATGTACCCCCCACTCCCCGGAGCTATGCATCGTGTTACCCCTCCAGGAGGGGCACCCATAGCCGGTCACTGGGTCGCAGGAAACACACGAGTCTATATTCCAATTTTTGCAGCCACACATTCCCCAAACCACTTCTGGAACCCTGAAAGTTTTGTTCCTGATCGTTGGCTAGAGGGTGCAGAAGGCCCGTACCAGAAAGATAACAAAGCGGCATGCCATCCCTTTTCGGCAGGACCGCGGGGTTGTATTGGCCAAGAGTGAGTTGACCTATTATCTATCATACATGAATTTTATTGATATGTAAATAGCATGGCATATGGCATGGCAAAGGTAGTATTCTGCAAGTTCGCAACTGAGTTCAACTGCGAACTTGCGTCTGATGATATCAGCCCCTGGCTCACAGGTCTTCGTTCATGGGGAACATGGGATGTGCCGCCACTCATGATGCGGGTATCTAGAGTGAAAAAGGCCAGCATCTGACTATGATATGATGCCGTTATAATGACGCTTATAAGAAGTGGCTAGTCATGATGAAAGTGATAATGTAGTGATGACATTTAGTTTTGACATTTCGATGTAACTTAAGGTGTGTAGATTGGCATTCAGGAAGACTTTACAGAGCTCCACCTCCGCTGCCTATTTTACAGTCGGATCCAATCCGGCGGTGCACAGCCCAACTGTCAGTTGGCTATCCCTACGCTCACTGTATCCCCGGTAGAACAGGTACGACAAACGGACACTGTTTATCTTATTTCGGGATTTCATTCAGACTGGTCCACCGAAATGACCCAAACTACAAAATACGTATGCCTTCGGGCTCCCTTGCCGAGATACCCTCGGGTTCTACTTAAGCGTCGGATTTTCGAAAAGTTGGGCAGTGAAGATCATCGACCCCAAAGCAGACAACATCTGTACATTTCCCGATTCTCCGAGCTTCACCAGAATAAGTTAGGCTTAGATCCTCATCCTTATCATAGGTTATAGGGACACGCTGTTGCAATATAACCCCAACATTCTATATGTAAGATGGTGTTCTAGCCGTCTTGGCTCAATAGACCAAGGCAAACATTCCTTGTGAGGAATACGCTTCTTCTTTCCAAGTACCAGTCGTCAATCTTCCGTAAGTCCCCAAAGTTTTGAAGAAAGTTCCAGGACCGAATCGGTTACCGATGTATATCGGGACAGTCACTGTAGCCTGGCATTCTACCAAACCATATACCGATGTCTGTAAGTCCGTGGCTTGATCGCCGCACATTATGCATCTTCCTCTCTATCACCAGAGGCCGGCATCTTGATGATCTCCAGAGTAGCTACAGATCACGTACTAGGTTCAGTCGTCGACACTATCAGATGATCGGCGAGCTCTTACATAGAAATACCTGAGCATGATGAGTAGTGTGCTAAATAGTACCGATAATAGGTCTATAGAACTACCCCCTATAGTGCAGCGCATTCAACGTCAAGATCTGGTTTGTTAGTCCGTTCAACATTGCCGACAAATACTACGTCCACGGGCGGCTAATCGGCACACGGATCCGAAGCTAAGCGAATCACTGCAAACTTGCATCCCTCTGCCTTCCCCGTAGGGCTCCGCTACCCAAAGACAAGACTATAATGACCTAATAGTCGGCTATTCCGAAACAAGGTACTATTCTGAGAACCAAGACGCTTTACCAAGTCCTGGATATGTTGTCGATAGTATATAGATCATAGATCAGGAATTGTTGTAATATGGCTATTGAATACTTCGAGACATAACAAATTGTGAATGGCTGTCGTTACAGTAAAAACCAAGCACAACGAATACATGGAAACCTACACAGAGACACATCTCCAAAACCTTGTCGGAGCCTCCCAAGGCCATCTCAACTCCAATGAAAGTGACACCGCAAATCTCTCTGGGCTGATGATAACGATCCCGAAAACCCCTACAACTAGTGAGTGAGACAAAAATGGACCCTGACATGTCTCGCTGCCTTCACCACCTTTCTCGCCATGATCAATGGAACCATCATTACCGTGGCGCACTTTGAGATCTCAAAACACTTCCATGTCAACGAGAATACATTTCCAAATTTTTCCAAATTTTTACTGGCCGATAACGACATGGGCTAGGGGCGGTGCATGCTCTGCTTCATTTATTCTTTCCCTAGCAGAGGATTTCGGGACCGGTCATATCTTCCTCTCAACCTATCTATTATTCCTGTGCTTCCTTGTGCCCCAAGCCGTGGCTCAAAACTTCGCGACGTTAGTCGTCACCCGGTTCTTCGCCGGCGGCTGTGTCGCTATTTTGGCCAATACCGCCGCCGGTGTGGTTGGAAATCTATGGAGCACTGAGTGGTTCAGGTCTATTCCAGTCAGTCTATATATTCTTGGCTGTATGAGCTGGAGCAGTACGGGCCCTGTGATGGGCGCCATGATTTTCCACTCCTTGGGATGGAGGTGGATTAGCCATATGCAGCTCATCTGCTTTGGGGCTCTATTTCCAGTCTACTATTTCTTCCTACATGAGTCGCGTGGCAGCGCGATCCTTGCACGACGAGCATGACTCAATCGCAAGAATGGTGGCGAGAGCAGTGGTCATGAGGCGAGTGGGGCTGTTTTATCTCGACTGAATCTACAGGGCCTTGTAGTTAGCACCACGAGACCAATGATTTTATTCACAATAGAGTCTGTCCTCTTCGCGTCGACTATTTGGTCCGCTTTTACAGTGGGGACTCTGTTTCACTTTACCCAGTCCATCGAGCAGGTGTTCATGGGCCTATATAACTGGGAGGTTTCACAGACGGGTTATGTTCAATGCGCTATCATCATCGGAGAATGTCTAGGCTGGTTAGTGAATTTTTCTTTCTCGGAAGCTTTACTTCGCGTTTGTTTCCAGAAATACCGAAGTTCCCGGGACTCCGTTCCCGGAGGCAAGGCTGTATATGGCGGTGGAGGGCGGGGTTTTTGGTCTCTCGGGTAGTATGTTCGTCTATGCTTGGACTTCGTATTCGAGTCTGCCATGGATTGCACCTACTATTTGATTGACCTTGGTAGGTGCCGGTAGTGTGTGCGTCGTGACGGGAGTGACGGACTACGTGGTTGATTTTTATTGCCTGTTTTCTGGAAGTGCCATGGGTGCTGTTGCTGCGGGAGAGAATGTTTTCTCTGCTTTCCTGCCACTTGCAACTATGAGCATGTACCGGGTGCTAGGGTATCAGTGGGCGTGTATGCTACTTGGTTCTTTTTTGCTTGGTACTGTCGCTTATTCCTACAATGATGTTTGTCTTGGGGAAGGAGGTGCGTGCTCGGAGTGCCTTTATGAATGAGATGACGTATGATGCAACGAAGAAACGGTCGGAGACGGTTTGAGGTAGCTATAGCGGAGAACACAGGATAATGATTGATGCAACAGTGAATAGGGTTAATGAAATTGCTTCAGACAGTGAAGCTCGTTCTGGGTGGAGAACCACGACTGTAGCAGATAAGTATGAGTTGTTCGAAAAATATATAAAATTTGATCGATTTGAATTGAGATTGAACTACACTAGCTAGGACTAGCGCCATACAAAAAGCCTACAAGGATAGGACCTATACTGGGACAAGTCTAGGAATGCCAATTTACTTGACATAATCAGGATGGTACCACAGCTGAACACAAGTGAAGCCACAAAGGGACACCTGTACGGAGTACTAAATTTGATATCTCTCCCGGCGATAGATCTTGCACGGAAGGCGCCCCACCAAACCACAGGACGGCATGAGATAGTCCACCCACCCGCTAAGCGAAGCGAACTGGCAAAAAAAGAAAAGATAAAAAAAGAAATGACCTACGCAGGATTCGAACCTGCAATCTCTTGATCCGTAGTCAAGCGCCTTACCATTGGGCCAGCAGGCCAATCGATGTACCTTTGTAGATATTTTGGCCACATAACGCAGATCAAAGTTAGATCCCTGATTAAGTTAATTCCCACCCCAACGCCATCCATCCATCCATTCTAACCAACACGGCAATGAAGCAGATGCTACAAGAAACCAATCATGCTACTACTAGTAGTAACTGACCGCCGGCCACCCATTCAGCCGACTATACGCATCCAACGGCGTAGTCCCATTCAACTGCTCATAAAACACCCTTTCCCCACACACTTCCTCCTCCTCTTCCCCATTAGTGCTACTAGTACCAGAAGTACGAGTGACATCCTCCGCACACCTTCCCTGCAACAGCGCGGCAACATTATCCCCCGCCTCACGTCCCTCATACCACGCCCCATGCAAGAACCCGAAATAGGGGGCACTAGTCGCCTCCCCTGCGAACCAGAGTCTTTCCGTATTCGCCCGCAGATTCTGATGCATCTCGAGGGTCGTTCCTGCCGGCCAGTTGGAGTAGCTGCCGTAGACCCAGGGTTCGTTCGTCCAGCGGGGGTAAGTAAACGCCGTAGGCTCGGGTATGTCCTTGTCGGGAAACATCTCTCTCAAAACATTGAGGATTTGGTCTTTGGTTTGGGTGAGGGATTGGCGTTCGACGCGGTAGGCTTGTTCGTCGACGACAGTGGCGAAGAGGATGTTTGAGTCGGGGAGGAAGTTTTCTGTCGAGAGGGATTGAAAGACGGGATAGTAGCCTCTTGTTGTTGGGGAGGCGTAGAGGAAGAATTGTGTGTCTGTGGGCCAGAAGGTCTCCGGGAATTGCATGAATATCTTGGTGTAGGTACCCATGTTGAATTTTTCGATGGCGGTTTGTTTCCAGGACGGCAGGGGAGGGTCGAAGGTCACGGCTTTGTTCTGGAGGACGCCCAGGGAGAAGGTGCAGATTGCGTAGGCGGCTCGGATGCAGGTGTTGCTGTTTTTGTTGTCCTTGGTGTGAATTGTTACGCCCCTTAAGGAGTATTCGATGCGGGTAACACGGGTGTTGAGACGTAGGCGGCTATCGGAGGGGTTGGCTAGGAAGGTGAGCGCTTCGTTTTCGATGATGGTGCTATATCCGCGCGGGTCGAGGACGAGGTGGTTGGCTTTGCCGAATTGGTTGAAGGTTAGGTTTTCGCCGGCGATACCGAAGACCAGCGAGCTGGTTTCGGGCGTGTGTGCGTCTTCCCAGTCTAATTGAGGGGATATGCGTTAGTCCGGTGAGAGAGATGGGATAGGGTTGGTGTTATCCCGATGGGTGTGAAAAGGGTTGGGTGTTCCCCCTTTTAACGGTAATTGTTCATACCCCAGCTCCACCATTCCACGGCTTGTGCAGCCATGTCATTCTTGCGTGGTCTCCAGCCAGCGAGGGCGAGCCCAGTGCGTGCGGTTTGGTCTTGCAGGTTCTGCGTCAGGATGCGGCCGGCATTGCGGGCAGCAATGTGGTAGGCCTGGGTGTAGTCGTCAAGTAAATAGCGGTAGTCACTGTAGCCGGTCTCGTTATATGTCCGGATGGAGCTGTAGTTGGAGTAAGTGTTTTTCAGATCGTACTTTTTGGCTAGTGCCCAGACTGGATTCTCGATGGCATCAGAGCCGAGTCCTTGGAGCTGTAGTTATGGTGAGGCGAATGTTGATTTGACAGAGTGTAGGTTGTCATACCCAGTTGGCTCCTAGCTCAATCACATATGGTTTGCCCTGCTTATCCTTCCCGAAGTCGGTATGCCAGACACGACCACCCAAGGTATGGCGATATTCGAGGATAATGAAGTCGTCGATAGATGCGTTGGACAAGGCTTGCTAGCAGTCTTGGTGAGCATTGCCGGTCGGGGTTTAGGGTAGGGGGCCTGAGGGTCACCTACTGCAGCTGCAATGCCGGCCATCCCTCCACCCCTGTTAACGTTAGACGCTAAGCTCCAGCGCGATAGTAAATCTTAGCGGGGAGCTCCTACAAGATGGCCACCGTTGTTTCGGTGCACTTGTCATCGCTAAGCGGCGCCTGTGCAACATAAGCGGAGCAGGAGAACAGAAAGGTCGTCGCTAGGAAGGCGTATAAAGAAACGGTGATGGGTATCGTATGCATGGCAGGTGAGTGACGTCTACGGACAGTGAAAGTGGATGGCAATAGTAGTCTGGTATATATTCACTCAGTTTTGCATTAGAATGAGTTGCTTGCTATGCACTGGTAGTAGTAAGTAGATTGGCCGTTTTGAGAACGACAACTGCTACACCAGGGAGGATAAAGGGGGTCAAATCAAGCCTGTCAGGACCTGGCATGGTGGGCTGGTCAGCCGGACAAGGGCCAGCTCAAATAGTAGTTAATCAGGCGTGAACCCAAAGAGGGAGGAAGCAAAAGCAAAAGCATCAAATCAATAGTGTGTCTGCACGGAAGGGCAAGGATGATCGGTGAAGGGCTGGTAGAAGCGCCTTGTGATCGGGACAGGCATCTTGGCGGGCAGCCAAGACAAGAGGGCGTACCACGTGAGACATTCCTCGACAAGCTTCTGGAAGGCGATTCATTCAGCAATCATCAAGGGATGGAAGCCGCGCAGCAGAATAAGCCGGTGATTTTGCACCAGACAGGAATGTCCAGGCGGGTGAGGCGGTCCTCCCTCCTGATTGGCCAGCAACGCCTGATAAGGCAGCGCGATAAGGAGATAAGGCATCCCCACCTCGAAATAGACCGATGGGTGCCTGGGGCCGCAATTCCGGATAGATCCTGATCTGCCCTTTCTGGTTGACAGTAGTGCCGCGCAAAGAGGATTGGGCGATGTTTGACCAGCCGCGGGTATATTAAGCTTCCCCGCATGAGGCTGGACATACCCCTTTGATCCATAGCTCCTATTAGCCCAAAATTACCCCTCTCAGTGCGATTTAAGCTGCCAGTAACCTCATGTCGCACTTCAACTCCATCATCCGCCAAAATCTCCCGTCAACAATCCCCTTGGACTGAACCCTCGGCCATGGAAAAAACGAAAGTCGCCCACGATGGGCCCGATGATGATGTTCAATTGGCCGAAATGGGTCATAAATCCGAGCTGCAACGGAACTTTTCGACCTTGTGTGTACTATTGATTGCCTGGTCCTGGATACCCCGATGGAAGAAACCTTATTGACCCGAGATTAGGTCTATGCTTGGATTGGCCTTTGCGGTGCTTAATGTATGTCCTCTGCAGTGCCAACTGCCCACGGGTCGATCACACGTGCTGATAATCTGCCGATTAGTCTTGGACGGCTCTATCCGCGAGCTTATCCCTCAGCTTACCTTCAGGGGGGAGCACTAGTGTCGTCTGGGGTGGGCTGCCAATGGAATTAGTTTCCTATTTGGGTTTGCTGACCCCCAGTCATAGGTTTGGTCACGGCGGGGTTCTGCAACCTCTGTATTGCAGTGTCGCTAGCTGAATTCTTGTCCGCATATCCAACGTGAGTTCTATCAAATCAGCGTGGTTTGCTAAAAACTTAGTCACTAACAAGAATGTATCAGGGCGGGAGGACAGTATCATTGGGTAGCCGGTATGTTTTCCCGCAGCAACCAGTCAGGATGCCATACTAATTTTGACTTGCAGTCAGTACGTAGGATTATCCCTACCTCGTTAGTATCCCCTAACGTCTCTCAGTATCCTGGCCAAAATGGGTTCCTATCCTATCCTGGGTAACCGGATGGATTAATGTGGCGGGATGGGTATGTCTCCGCAGAAATGGCCTGATCAGCGCTGACCAGCTAGGTTGCCCTTGTCGCCACCAATGCCCTTCTCTCCTGCGAATTGATTGCTGGAATTGTGTCATCCGTGTACCCGGTAAGACTTCTAGTGTCTCTGGACAATCATCTGGATGTTGATACTATGCTGGTAGGACTTTGTTTGGCAGCGCTGGCAAGAGTTCCTGATCTACGTAGGATACACACTGCTTGCATTCGTCATTAACGCTTTCATGAATTCGATCTTGCCAATCATCTACCGTGGAGCATGTAAGCTACCCTGCGGGAAATGTATCAGAGCGGGTTATTAACTGGAACAGTCACCTGGTCCATCGGTGGTTTTGTTCTGATTTGCGTCACGGTGCTGGCTTGTGCATCCCCGGACTACAACTCTGCCTAGTATGTATTCCCGTCAAAGTGTCTTGGCCGCACACTAAGCTGACCATGCATATAGCTTTGTGTTCTGCGACTTTGTCAATCAAACTGGCTGTAAGTTAACTGAAGGAGAGGTCCTGTGAATATTGCAAGCCAAGCTAACGAGCGATAGGGCCTGATGGAGTGGCTTGGTTACTGGGGGTTAGCCACATCTCTTATACTAGTCTACCACGACGCTAACAGACGCAGCTTCTTCAAGGGGGACTTGGAGTGACCGCATTTGTACGTATCCCACTCACCAGTGCTGATGTCAATCTAACATGAACTAGGACGCGGTGGCTCATATGATCGAAGGTATCACTTCCAATATGCAACCTAAATAACCTATTAATAACGCTCGAACACAGAGATACCCAACCCCTCAATCAAAGGACCCAAGATCATGGTAGTCTGCGTCGGCATTGGTACCTTTACCGGGGCGGTATTCCTCATTGTCCTCTTGTTCGTCGCGGGCAACATGGACGAAGTAGTCAATTCCAGCGCAGGGCCTCTACTAGAAATCCTCATCCATGCCACCAACAACCGGGTGGGCGGCATCTGCCTCCTCATGTATGTTCCACTCCACCTCTTTTCATTCAACCGGCACTAAAGTCGGACTACAGGCTCCCTCTTGTCTGTCTATTATTCGCAACACTCAGCGTCATGACAACAAGCAGCCGAATGATCTTTGCATTCGCCAGGCACGTCACCCCTCCTTTCTTGCTCCCTGCTTCCCTAAGTACAGGGACACGAAGACTAACACGAAACAGAGACGGCGGTCTCCCCGCCTCCAAATTCTTCGCGCGAGTGCACCCCAGACTCGGTCTTCCCTTGAACGCACTTATGTTAACCGCCTTTGTGGTGATTATCTTCGGGTGCATTTACCTCGGATCAAGCAGGTACCTCCCTCCCCGAAATTATCTTACCCCTGAAAGAATATAAAACACATACTGAGATAAACGCAGTGCCTTCAACGCAATCGTCTCCGCTTCTGTCGTCGCACTTGATCTCTCTTACGCCATGCCAATCGCAGTGAATTGTTTACGCGGACGGAGGACCCTCCCTGATCGCAAGTGGAAAGTGCCTAATGCAATTGGATGGGTGATCGATACTGTATGTACATTTACACATGTCTTCGTATAGTGGCAGATGTTCTAACATGAATAGATCTCTCTATCGTATATTGCACTTACTACTGTGCTGTTCCTATTCCCGCCTGATCGGCCGGTTACGGGGAGTAGTATGAGTAAGGTTTTCCTCTTCCTTCTCTCTCTCTTTTTTTTTTTTTTTTTTTTTTTTTTTCCTCTTTTTGAGAGGCTGGGGCCGTGCTCAGTGCTGACATGTTCTGCTAGATTACTGCATTGTTGCATTTGCCATTATTGTCATCGTCTCGGTGGTACAGTGGGTTGTGGACGGGATGAAGAATTTTACGGGGCCGAGGGTGGATTTGTCTTAATTTATACCCCTGTGGAAGGTTTTCGTGGAGGCGATTGAGGGTTGAAGAGATATGTGTGATAGTAGCAGGGGGATAGCTATATAATTCTAATTAGGGTACATGTGTCTACAGATACATCCTTGATATAATGGAACCATGTTTTGTCCGGAGTGGACTGTTCATTTTCATTTTTTTTTCGGCGTGGATTTGCGTAATCAAGACGTTTCGATCCATAGATTACTTCCCAAAGTGACGCATCTAGCTTGACAATAATGGGCTGAATAGAGTTAGGATCTGAAGAGTACGAATGCTTTGCTCTTCAATGGCTTGTTGGGAGAGTCACTAGAAGCTGCTGCAAGCCAGTAATTCATCATGCTCATGTACGTGCGAGAGGTCAGTGTAATCATTGCGAGGCGGCGACATAACCAACCACTCATAGCGCGTTGCCACCAACCCGGGATTGGGTGATATGAAAGCGCAGGAGGTGTTTCAAGGCGTAAGAATATAAAAGAGTCTGGTTAATGGATCTGCAGCATGGATCACGTTTATTCGTACCAGATGAGGAGACAAAAGGAACGAATCAACAATTTAGCAGGCTCAGCAAAGTCACCAAATCTATGTTTACGACTTCGGCGGAGGCGGCGATATCCATCTTCCATCCCGTAGCCAAACCCCGGCTCCACCGTATTTGCCTGCTTCCGCTCCCTTGAGGAAGGCGAACCGAAAGAATAGGTCTTCCGGCTCAGAGTCATCATCCTGCACAGTGACATCCAGCTGGTCACTCTCGATGGTGGGTCGATGTTGCAGTTCCAGCCCTCTGTGCCCATGTCGATGCCATATAAACTCACCCCGCTTGTCTTCGTCCAGATAGCCGCGCCAGCGCTCGACGTCGTTCACCAGTACAGAAATACCATCTACGCCCATCTTGTCCATACGTTGCCGTTCCCAGAGATTGAATGTGATGTTTCCATTTCCGTGATGTGTTTCAGGAGACCCAGGACCAGGAAGGGAGACGGAGACCGAGGAATCACTGACATTGGGGTAGGTCCCGCCCCACCATCCGTGCGAACCCCCAGGGCCCGGGGCTTGCTCGCCCAAGGCGGCGGGTGTTTCGATGATCGACGCAAATCCCCAGCGAGCGATGCCGTTGATGAAGAGGCCCAATAGTAATCCCTGATAGATCAACGAGGGGCGCGTAGGTAGGGCCGTTCCCGGCATGAGAAGGATGGCAAGAATGTAATGATGGATTCTCAAGCGCAGACCTGGCAGTGGGAGTAAGATCAGTAGGATGAGACCCATAGTGCAATAGATCTTGAGGTAGCGAGGCATTAAGCCTCCCATGCGGATTTGCCAGGCTTGACTCAAGATGATGCAGACCACCGTGGGGATCACTAGAGCCAGTGCAACCTTGGCTCCGGGCTGTTTCTGGATATCATGAGGAGTCAAACGCTCGAGCGGGATCAGCCTGGCGAAAGTGTAATTGTTCAGACCACCAATAAAGGCAGGTGGCAGGTAGAGGAACAGTTTAGTCAGCTGGTACATTGGCTCGGAAAGCGGGGTCAGAAGCGGCCGTGCGCAATACTTATACAAGACGAAGGCCACAAACGACGCCGGCAAGAGTCGTGAGAACATAGTTGAGAAAAGGTCTGCAAACTGAGAGATCGAGGGCGGATCAGAAACCAGTCCCACCTGGCAAAACAGCATGACGAACGTGCTGAAGAACAGAACAGGTGGGGAGACGCAAAACAGCCAAAGAAGACTTAGTGCGCCAATGGTAATGCCTAGCAATGGCCAGCGAGGATCTTGAGGGCAGGTTGCCTGTGCTGAGGACAGCTCGACAAAGCTGAACGATTTGGGGAAGGTCGACGGAAATTCAACCGAGCGAATTCCATGTTGCTTTGACGCATGGAAAGAATGGGCGGCACCATCCAGTTTCAAGACACCACAGCCACCAACCGCATTAGTGATGACACCCGCATGAATGGCTGCCTGACAGACGAAACTATCTGCTCGATACACGGCAGGCTCATCGGATTCTGGTTGAGGACCTCCCACTACCAGGCCCTGGTAGCTGTAGGTCTGGTTGCCGATCGTATGCGGCTGGAGCAATTTCGAGTCGCGGCAGTTTGCAGGACACCGGAAGGCCATAGTTGATGCAGAGAAGGGGCGACAGTCGTTGCCGTTGAGGCCACAGTCATTGCCAGACTGCCATAGACTCGTGGAGCAAGCGAGTGTCTTCGGTCGTCCATAGCCCTCGATGTAACCGCCCTGTCGTGAATGCAGCAAGACAATGGTCCAGGGCAGAAACCAGACAATATACAGCAGTGCCAGCAATGCGATCTTGTGCTTGCGTTTGGGAAAGAAGCGTTCGAGTAACCGAACCGGCAATTCTTGATAGCGAGGGAACAGCGGCTTCAATAGCAGGGATTGCGGAGGTTTCGGGCCCTTGACCCAGTCGGCTATGGCCCAGCCTGCTTTGCGTAGCGGCAATGGAACCCATCCCCAGCGAATGGATTTGGATGACTCCCGTAGCCAGACGGGTAAGTATGGGAGACCGGTCTCTTCATGCTGAGGGAGGTCGGGGGAATCGTCAGCGGGACGGTTTTCCGTTTCCCATAGTGGTGGAACATGAGGACGAGAGCCGTCCTCAGGTCCTTCTCCAAGCATGCTGCAAGGACGTCGATGCGAGCAATTGTGGGAGATTACGGTGAGTGTATATCAGAACCCCGAGACGACCAAGGAACGGACGCAGATAACTGTGGGGACGAACGGTGGAGGGGCGCTAGGACTCGGGGGATTCTAGACCGCGACCAGAGAGACCCTTCCAGCCCGTGGAAGGAGGGGATCGGAGGGCTCAAATGATAGAGCACTGGAAGGGAGAGAAAGACGAACGGGAAATCAGGTGTGAGAATAAGAATAACGATAAGGAAAAGAATGAGGCACGTCGGGACTAGTTACATGGATGCATATCCAGAGGCGACAGACGGACAGTCGGTGAACTACTGGAGTCAGGTTAGTCGGGCTTCCGTGAGTTTCCGGTGTTTCGCCTCTCTTTTTGGCGCCCGATGTCACGGCACGTGATGGTCAAGGGGCATGTGATTTTGCTCATCACATGACTGACGGCTCCCGAAACCGGATTGCCTTAAATCCTGATCAATGACTCGAAAGAGTAATGAGCAATAAACTAATACGGAGAGTGTAGCATGCATGGAACTTTGGCCTGCATACTCCATACACTACTACTTCCACTCACATAGATTGCAGACCCCGAGTGGGCTAAGTAGATTTTAGAAACGAAGTAGTAGTACTGTCCGACAAACCTTCTAACAAATACTAGAGAAAGATGGAAACATAATAATACTTATGCAGTACCCCTTCTGTTGACATGGAGCAATTGACTATATCAGACCGGATGGTATTGATGTCTGCCTTGTATGCCGTCGCAAGGTTGTCCGGAAAAGGAAGTTTTAACGCGGAAAATATACAGGGGCGGCGCGACCCGTTGATTTTCCCCGGCGGATTGGGCCTTGAATAGGCAAGTTATTGTTGTTCGTGGCCTTCCATTGTACTTCTTCTTTCTCCTTCTGTTTCATCGCGCCCAGAGTCTTAGCATGCGACATCCTTGCAACAATGAATGATTTTGAAAGACTACGTCCAGTTGGTGAGTGAGAAGTGCCTGACTTGAGAAGTCGAGGCCAACAAGGACTTGAATGTACTGACAGCTGTCAGGGCCTCTGGAGAAATACTCCACCGCGCGCCATTCTCTCGGACTATATTTCAACGTCGCGGTGTCGGCAACCTACATCTTGCCGGATACTTTCACTCTGCCTTTAAAAGACTATGTATACAAGGCCTGTGAAACACTGATCGGCCAGCATCCTATCTTGTCCGCCATCCCCATCAATGAAGATACCGAAGATACCTGGTTCGTGCGCCTTCCGAAAATTGATCTGAGCCAGTCGGTGGCATTCCAGAGGCGCACCCGCGACTTTCCCAACAGCAATGAACCGGATATAGAATTGTGCGAATTGCTGCAAGTTCAACATAGTACAGGGTTTGCTGCCCCTTTGCCGTACTGGAGACTATTCATCCTGACAGACGAGGCGAATGACCTGCGCTTTACGGCAGTCTATGTGTTCCACCATGCGATTGGGGACGGGACTTCAGGGAAGGCATTTCATCAGACGTTCTTGGATGCATTGCACGCTGCTGCTACTTTCCTGACCCCAGGCGAGGTTAAGCAAGTCATTCAGTCGCCCACATCACCTCTGCTACCAAACCTGGAAGCGCTCCATCCATGTCCTACGACCATACCTTTCCTTCTTAATGCTCTTTTCAGAGCGAAGGTATGGTCTCATCGTGATCCACGCCTCTGGACAGGAGCCAAAATATCTGCTCCGGTTAAGACCGAGTTACGCCAAATCATCATCCCCGCAGCTGTGTCTGCAGCATTTAGGAAGAACTGTCGTCGAAACAATGCAACTGTCACCGCGGCTCTGCAAGCAGCAGTTGCCCGCGCTCTTCTCACCCACTTGCCAGCGAAGTATATCAAAGTTCAAATGAACGGCGCCATCTCATGTCGAAGGTGGCTGAAGGGAGGAGAAATTACAGATCAGTCTATGGGCGTTTGGGTCATGGACTTTGCCGAAAGCTTCTATCGGAACGAGGTGAATCAATATCCCGACACCTTCCCATGGGATCAAGCCAGGAAGTCTCGTGCGACCATCGAACAGGCACTGGGTCGCGAAGGCAAAAATGCTGGCACATGCTTGCTCAAACATATAGATAACTTTCAGGACCTCTTCCGGGGAAAGATTGGCAAAGACCGCGATGAAAGCTTTGAAGTATCAAATGTGGGTGTCTTGCAGTCCAAACAGGAAGAAGACCCGTCGCGGCCGCAGACCACACGGGCGATGTTCTCCCAGACACCCAGTGCTTTAGGTGCAGCTCTGGAGGTCTCGTCAATCACCGGTGGTGATGGCTGTCTGGTCTTGGGAATCACATGGCAGACAGGCGTCGCGGAGCCAGAGCTGGTCAATGCAGTTATTGACACCCTAGTTAAGGAGCTACATAATGCTGCACATTGATTTGCAAAATTACCTCTTCCCACAGCTTCGTCTCTCTCACCTTGTGTCCGCAGACCCCAGACGTCTTATTCTATTACGGAAATGATTATTCTCTGACGTCTTCCATGTCGGATATCTATAATCCTAGTATCTTTGGCTATATGATAGATCTAATATATTAGGAATATCGCGCCCTATTGTAGCACTTTGGCTCTTCAATAACAGGTTTACGGAAATACTGCATTTGAGTAGAGATATAAACATTCCGGCTGCAGGGCCTGTAAATATCGAGAACTGCCTATCATTGGATGAAAGTATGTAAACCTGGGACAAAGACAAGAGGCTCTTTAGACTCGAAGCGTCCACCGAAATGTTATTAGAGTTCTTGCCTCTCAGTAGCGAAGTGTGAGTGGTGCACACACTCGCTTTATTAGCGCTTGAGTCTCGGTTACTCGAAGGCTACACCAGTATGCGGCGGGATAATTTTTTTCGCGGCTTTCTCCCTTCATCTTGGGTTAGCTTCGGCCTCTTGGGATTGCATGAGAACTGACTGCGAAGATTCGATTGCATACCGGCCTAAGAAATAGAGACGGAATCCGGCATGGCTTTTTGCCCACAAGAAGAAGAGAAAGGGGGATTTGCAGACGGATGATGCTGGGGGATAAATCATTAGAAAGTGAATCTTTTACGCAGACATTGGAATATCAAAAGAATCAGTCCCTAATCACTCCAAACAGACCAGTGACATTCAAAACCGTAATGATACATTATACGCTGTTTCCTTAATTGTTAGCCCTGAGTCACCACACTGAAGACCTAAACATTAGCTCAACAAGATCGCTTTCCTTTCGAGTGCTCGTGAGCTGGTGGGAGAGAAGATGAAGGAAGGTCTAGAAGGGATTATGTCTGCCATCAATCATATTCATTCGTTCGGACTTGTGCATAATGACATTAACCCGGCAAACATTATGATTGATGAGAAGGGTACGCTTGTTCTTATCGATTTTGATAGTTGTCGGTTTATCGGGGAGTCGTTGAGAGACACCGAAGCGAAAAGAACACACCAATGGCATGACCCTTCTGTCAATGTTGCGCTGGAGAAGAATGACCTTGACGCGTTCAGAGATTTACGAATTTGGCTGGCTGGATCGGCGGATGAAGACTTTTTATTTTGAACGAAGCGCTTCTTAATACCATTTCCTCCTGAGAATCTGCTTACATAGTGCTGTTACTGATATCATGTTGCAATTATCAAACGAATATGGGTAGTTGCCCAGTGGGTTCAGAGAGGAATATCTGGCCATGATCATTTCGGACAAGGGGACACCAGAAATCAAAATCTATTCTAAGCCAAGGAAATTTTGCCATCTATCCGACACAACCAAAAACGTAGTAAATAGCCAACCCAAACATAATAGATACAGGAAAGCCAAAGAGCGAAACCTATCAAACTCCCGGCGCAACCTCATCCCCATGAGGGACGCTATTAACCAAGCTCAGGAAGCAATTCCATCCTATACAACCATCAGCTCTACCCAGCAACCATAACAAACCTATACAAACGAAATATCCAAAGACACATACCAATATTAACAACGTTAACCGTCAACACACGATACTGCAACGGCACCAAAGCAAGGTTAAGCGTCTGAACCGCCGGCCAAAGCATCCAATTGGCGCGCAGGGCATCCCAGTACGTCCTACTGAGCTTGTCCTGAGGATCAACGCCCTCCATGACAGACATACTGGTGAGAAAGACACCAATCATAGTAGGAGCGCAGACGAGCTGGTCAGCACTAACGCGCGCAGCAAGAGTCTTGGTTGGTGTTGAAAGCTGGATGCGGTTCTGGAGGAACTGGAACCATTTTGTGGCGACCGGGCCGAAAACAGCTATATTTTTGCTTTTGTTTAGAGGGAATGAAGGGGGGATGAGGGAACGGGGGCTGGGCTGGACTTACCACCTCCGTACAAAGCCATCCGTCCAGTTCGGGTCACATCATGATTGGGCAGGCCCTTCTTCTCGACGGCTTGCTGGGCGAGCCCGTCACCTACCGCGAAGAGGGTCTGGTGGATTTCTTTCTCAGCTTTGCTGAAAGAGTGTGATGAGGACAGATTGAAGCTTACCGCTGTGGTGAGGCTCTGCGTCAAGAGAGGACGCTGGATAAGACATCTCTGGTACCTGGGGGATTGGTATCGTTAATGCCGGGGGTGGTGATGGCAGTGGTGGTGTTTGGGTGGGTGTTGTTCAACTCACCACGCGAGCATATTGAAGGGGACTCAATTGGTTCTTTCCCTTAAGTCTAGTCAATGGATCAATGGGATGAAAATGAAGATGAGATGATGAAATTGGAAGTCTGTTTTGATTCAATAGGGAGGAATGTCGGTCGCGTGGCGGATGCGCCCGAGTAGGAAATCGGCCCGCCGTGATGTAATCCGACCACTTGCAGGGATCCGAGGGGACTATTGGACAAATAAGCCTGATTGGCAAAGTTTATGCAAAGTTTTATGTGATAAATGTGACCGGTTCAGAGAGACAGAGACTTTCATCTGTAACCAAGCCCTCATTCTTTCCTCTATGGCTTCCCTTTTATTCAGATCTTCACTAATCTTTATCTGACAACTAGGAGATTCAGGAGTATATCATGCTGATTTAAGAGTTAGCTCTCCAGGATCATATACACAACAGTAGATCTAAGCTAGAATTGCAACTGACACACCGATGATGCGTCTCCTACACCGGCATTCGCTCATGCTTACAGTTTTGCCAACACAAACCTGTATGCTGTTCCTCGTACCAGCTGACATCAACCATCGGACCAGTCAAACCATTCCGCTTTGGGTTTAGTAATATCCAGTGGCAAAGCTTAGTGCCTGAGGATAGGAATTCGTACCTGAGGCACCATATGCCGAGGACTAGACAGATGGCGTCCAAGAACCCTTCTACACTGTCCTTAGTATAGTCCACTATAGGACCCTCTTAGCTATCTCTACAACAAGCGCCATGAATGATTGATATAAGGCTGTCGCACTACTTTCCCTCATTCGCCCTAAACCTCTGGCTTTGTTGCAAGGACGGGATTGTAATCTTGCCTGCGCATTAACTTATCGCCTGCAAACTGAGGTAGAAAAACCTACATCATGTGGCTAGCAGAACCTGACTGAAAAGTCAGTGAACTGCTAGCTAGCTAGCTGGTGGACGCTACCAATAACGACTCGAAATGGGGGATAAATTCATTGACACAGAGAGCCGTCTGGAAACCGCCTTTTGAGGGCTTTTGTACCCTTCATGATGCACATCGCGTGGCTGTCGCGGCTCCATGTGATAGTACTGGTATTATAACCCCGAAGACATATCATAGTGTCTATGATCTACTCCGTAGTGTACCCAAGCTCCTGCGGAACACGCTGAACATGACAGGGCCCATCGGTGTAACATTGCCAGCCAGCCAATCGGAGGCCGGTGAAATCCGTAGGATGGGGTAGACTATCTATTTGTAAATTCAATGAGTCACGCAGGGAAGCCAAAAAGATCTGCTCAGGCATTGATTTGATTCATCACCCGAGCATCCAACCCATCGCATAATTTCATTTTGTAAGCGGTGGTGAAAATCCCCTTCACGTGAACCGCACACTAATCCCAAACAGGCTGCTCGACGGAGAAAGCTCAGCGGTAGCCACCGAAAATCTGGGTCGCTAACGGATACTGAGTGAGCTTGAGGTGCCTGGTTAGGAACAGACAGACGAAAGTTACCGGTGGGGAGATGCTGGAAATGCAAAAATTTTACCAAGATGAAGGTCCTGATGATCCACTGGAGTGTGAACAAGTGTGATGGTCCCGGTTCTCATAACACATCGACCTCGGCTCAGGGTTCACCTTGTATCTAGAAATCATCTATCTACTAGTTACAACCTGATGAATTGTTCTAGAACTTACAAATCTCGAGAGAGGGATAGGGCTGCGCTAAACACTCGGGGACCCATATGTAATCCAGCGGCAATTTCAAACTCCACTTCTCTCCTTCGAAACCCTTAATCGCACCCAAGCTTTATTAGCATCGTGCCTCCCCACCAGCCTTCACATCCATCACTTGAAAGGAAGATTCCACTCCTCAGCGCTCTCCGATGGAGCCATTGCCTAACCCTTTCTGGTAAACCGGATGCAATTTTCCCGCCAGAAGTGAATGTCTTGTGTATAAGTTGTTGCGATATTCCTGCAAGGAGACAACGAACTGCTTGGAATGTCCCACCCTGGTCTGACACCAGAGACGATTGCCGCGTGGATGATTATCTACATATAAATCCCTCTGCTTGTCCTAATTTTGGCCCCTAGACTATAAGCTTCGAGATTCCCGGGAATATCTTCGCACAGACAGGTTTCTCACGCGGCCGATACTTTGCGTGTCCTCGCGAACTCGCAAGCATGGTGGCAGTCGAGGATGAGGAGAAGCACTCGAGTAGGTTTCCTACTCCGTCTCTTGTCTTCTAGAACTAGGATTCTGACCATGGACACAGCCCCTTGCAGTGATTGCTCCAATGCAACGGTCGTGGACTGGGATGGTCCCAAGGACCCCCAGAATCCATTCAACTGGCCCACTTCCAGGAAATGGCTAATGACCATTACTGCTCTGACCACCACCTTCGTGGCCCTCATGAATGGCACTATCATTACAGTCGCCCATGAAGCAATAAACGACGAATTTAATGTCAGCGATGCCACTTTTCCAAACTCATACTGGCCCGTCGCCTCTTGGACGATGGGAGGCGTCTTCTTCTGTCTCCTTATTCTGCCCCTCATGGAAGACTTCGGCACCCGCATCACATTTCTCCTCACCAACTTCGTCTTCTTCATTTTCGTAATCCCCCAAGCCGTCGCCCAAAATTTCGCCACTCTTATAATTGTCCGCTTCTTCGCCGGTGGCTGCGTGGCCGTCCTCGGCAACGGCTCCGCAAGCATCATTGGCAACCTCTTCGAGACAGAAATGGCGCGCACGAAACCCGTCGCTCTCTGGATCGTCGCCTACCTCGGTGGAAGTAGTGCGGGGCCTTTAGTCGGTGCACCTATCTTCGCTCATCTGTCCTGGAGATGGATCTCCTACCTACAACTCATCTGGGTCGGCGCATTGCTACTCGTGAACATTCTCATCCTCAAGGAAACCAGAGGATCCGTGATCCTGCAACGCCGAGCTCGGAAACTGCGCGAAAAGGGCGAGAACGCATACACGCAGCACGAACTCCAAGCCGAACCGCTCCGCCAGGTCCTGCTCACCAGCATTCGCCGACCGTTCAAGCTGCTCTTCACCGAATACGTCGTCTTTTTCTCCACGCTGTGGTCGGCTTTCACTGTCGGCACATTATACTTGTTCACGCAATCCGTCGAGCAGGTCTTCGTGGGACTGTATAACTGGACGCCCGTGGAGGCAGGGTATGTCCAGGCGGCGGTATTCATCGGCGAAGTGTGTGGGTGGTTTTTCTCGCTGATATCCGCACGGCTGTACTTCAACTCTTCGAAACGAAATAAGGAAATCCCCGGGACGCCCATTCCAGAGGCTAGACTTTATCTTTCCGTCGGAGGGGGTGTCTTCGGCATTGCGGGGGGAATGTTCGTGTATGCATGGACGTCTTACCCCTCCATGCCGTGGATTGCTCCGGCCGTGGGACTCTGGATGGTGGGCATGGGTAGTGTGGTTGTGGTCAGTGGCATTGCGGATTACGTGGTAGACGCGTATTGCAAATATGCTGGGAGCGCGATGGCTTGTTTTGTGGTCGGGGAGAACACTGTCTCTGCGTTTTTGCCGCTGGCTACTTCCAGTATGTATAATACGTTGGGATTCCAGTGGGCGAGTACGTTGTTGGCGTTTATTAGTTTGTTGCTGACGCTGGCACCGTTGTCGTTCATTGTGTGGGGGAAGAGTATCCGTGAGAGGAGTCCGTTTATGGCGGAGGCGATGTTGGATAAAAGGGCGGATCTGATGCGGGAGCCTAGTAATGGGCCCGCGAGGGAGATTAAGGAGTAGATTTTGTGATGCATGTATGTTTGATGAGTGCATGATGAGAGCGTGGCCTGGTGCCTTCAGCATGATGAAATACTATATTGATGTAATGGGCTTATTGTATGTAGATTGAGCGTTGATACTGTGACTGGTCAGCAGGATGAATGTTGAGCAGATCTTTAATGTAGCTACTACTACTTAGTAGTTGCCTGGTACACATTAGGCTTTGTCTCTCGTTGGTACAATGCAAGGGTGTCTAGTGCTGGATCTAGATTCTTCACTCTCAATCGTGCATCGGCAGAATCGACCTGGTCCATCAAGTCCGGGCAGAAATGCATCATACAAATTACTCAGTCTCAGCCACGATATACTCTTTCGGACTAGTCTGCTGTAGACTGGCGAAGTCCGTAATTTGCTTCGGGGTGCGAGGACTTGACTGCCCTAAAGCTATCAATTCCTTCGTGTCAAGACAGGGACTAACCTTTCAGGAGGCAAAGCCTCCCGTCAAGACTTTTGGGTAGAAGGTCGAGGCCTGTTTACTCGAGCTGTGGATGGCAAATGGACGCTGGACGGGCAACAAATACTATAGCTTCTTTCGTATGTGGTCAGTAAAGTCAATCATAAAGCGGCCTAGCCGGTTCCGGCTTCTACGGCATTTCAGGAAAGCTCTGATATGAGCGGCCAAAAAAATCCTGGTATGTGCTGCAGTGACTCGAGATGGTACTGTCCCTGCTATTGGAGGTAGTGCATTCAGGGGGCCTTCCGGTATGTGCGGAGTGCTTCCATATTGCGCAGGCGGATGGATGTTGATAATGTTAGGCTACGTAGACCGAAGTGAGGGATGAGGTGTCAAATCAGGGCATTAAATTATTCGGGCTAACCAAGACAAGTAGAGGCCCGTCGGGATGTATGCAGGAGATGGTCATGGAAGCAAGGGGGATTCAGGTGATATCTGCCCATACTATAGCTAATCACCCAGTCTTCGAGTTCGGCTTCTGCATCATGAAATATATCTTGTAGTACAGCAAAGCATGACAAGGATATGGCAAGGTCCTTGCCATACTGTGCATAGCTGGCCAGTGGCGCACATACTATTGTAAGCTTTCCAAGGGAGCTTCCAATCTGATTGGGGAAGTTCAGGCTGGGTAATATTTTTTTTCGATTCAATATTAAACTAATGACCTGTTTCCATGGGTAGAAAGAGGTCGCATCGGGAACTAGGGAATGAAAATACTGAGGGTATAAGATAGACAAGTGTAGTACCTAGAACGAAGAAAATCGTTGTATTAGATAGGTTGCTAGTTGTATTGTGGTAGTAATTAAGAAAACTTCACACCCGAGCAGTGTTCCTGAGCTGTTTGGACTTTAGCTTCACTTGCTCTGGTCATCGGGGCGGAAACAGCGCGAGGCTAGCTGAAGCAGCGTTCTTGTGATTGCTGCACCTGGCGGCGAGATATGCTGCATCAATATAGTGATTGCTGGATTGTAGAAGTTCTTGGACAGAGACATGGAAGCATTCCCGGAATGAGCACTGGATCCTTTGCCAAAGCGGTGGATTCCGGCAATACTTTGCATATGTCACGTGCTTATCGGTGGCATCATGTCCGTGTTGGGATTAGCGCCGGATCTCGCTATGGTCAACAGCATCAAGAGTGAAGATACAAGTCTGTAGTCGGACGGCCAAGTGACTGGTGTAGTGCCTCTCAAAGACTGAAGCTCTCTTCGATAATAGCAGGAAGTGGAGTGACCCATCTGGCTCGTCCCTTTAGGTCGAACTGCAAGACTCATCCATCTAGAAACCTACGGCGGTTAATATTAGAAACCACATGTATAATATTGATGTGTCTTATTTAGACACGAGGTTGTCTACTGCATAGGGCGCAGAGTGCTCGACCTGCATCAGGAACATATCCTGGGTTTCCAGTCTTGCTACAACAATAGCGAACATCATAGGGCCACAGATAGGACCCCGACGGAGCTGGGAGGACCGAGTCGTTTCGATCTTCAGCGGGGTCGGGCAAAAGTAACTGTGCCGACGATTAGGGCAGCCACACCAGCGGGAAATAGACCTCCGCCACTCAAACGGCGTGTTTCCTCAGCGCCGAGAAATCCTCCGCAAATCGGTTAGGTTGCCGAACTATAGAGCACAGTGCTGATGAATATAAATGCAGACCCTTACCTACTAGTAGAAGGCTGTTCTTCCCTTATCATCTACTCGTTATAATCCTTCTGCCTCAATCAAGTGATACGTCCAATATCCAATATTGTGTATCTATACTACTTGAACGATTGACACCGATAATTTTCACAATGAGTAAATCCACCATATTAAACCGACTCTCTGCCCTGGACACCAACACAGTGTCCGATGCTCTAGATTTCTTAGACCTCAAGGGCGCCACCTATGGACTACGACCACTCTGGGACTGCCCAAAGATAGTAGGACGAGCCAGCACAGTCAAAGTTGGTCCCAAGACCGACGCTGCTCCTACGACTCATCTACTCACTCCGGTTATCGATGCCGTCACGACGGATGATCGCATTCTGGTTATCTCGGGCGGCACCGAGGGAATCTCATGCTGGGGCGACATCATCGCCAATGCCTCGAAGAAAAAAGGCATTCGCGGGACCATCATTGACGGCATGAGTCGTGACATCGACGGCAGCAAGGACGTCGGCTATCCCGTCTACGGCCGGGGTGTGACCATGATCAGCGCACGTAACCGACTAGTGCAGCTCGAGTCCGGTACACCATTGCAGGTTCGCGGTGTCACCGTCAACCAAGATGACTACGTGATTGCCGATATCTGTGGAACGGTATTTGTGCCGGCTGCGCGCATCGAGGAGGTTCTGGACTTGGGTGAACGTGTCGATCTTCGCCAAAACCGTATGGTGCAGGCTGTAAGAGCTGGAAACCCCGTCTCAGAGGTCATGCATGATAAGCAATTCGAGGCTATCCGCTCTAGTGAAGAGTCTGCCCCGTCTGGCCCATCGTCGTCATCATCAAACCCTAATAAAGCAAGCCCCGAAGATGCAGAGTTGGCTGCCCTATTTGCCGAATCAGACACACCTGGCATCTCGGATGCGCTTGATAAGCTTGGTATCACTGGCCAGGCGCTCGGAATCATGCCTTTGACCAACTACGAGAAGGTAACAGTAGGACCGGCCTTCACTGTGCGCTACGTCCCTGCCAGCGACCCCCCCGGCAGTGTTGGTGACTTCATCGACGATGTCGCTGAGGGTGACTTTGTCGTTATTGACAACAGCGGTCGTACGGATTGCACCGTTTGGGGAGATATTATGACACAATATGCTGGCTTGCGAGGCATTGCTGGCACTGTCATTGACGGTGTCTGCCGAGATGTGAACCGCGCGATCAAAGACGAGTACCCCCTTTTCACAGCTGGTCGCTGGATGCGGACTGGCAAGGACCGTGTCCAGGTAGGAGGCGTCAATGAGTCTGTGGGTATTGGCAGAGTGCGTGTTAACCCTCGTGATATCGTTGTTGCTGATGCCAACGGTGTTGTCATCGTCCCTCGGCATCGGGCAAGGGAAGTTGCAGAAGTTGCGCAAAAAATCGAGAAGAGCGAGGAGGGCATTCGTGAAATGATTGAGGGAGGAGCAAGCATTGGGGAGGCACGGAAAAAGCTTGGATATCACACACTGCAGCGGAATGAGAAATGAGGAAGGGGTTCTAGGCCTGTATGATGAAGAGTTTGTCTATGCTTTCAAATAAAGTGGGCTAGGTTTATATTAGAGATTGTAAACAATGAGAAATGAGTTACAATATTGCTCCCTGATTCAGACCCTCTCGATGAATCTACATTATGTATATGTACCACAGCCCAGGTTACGAGAGAGAGCTCGAATAATTATTACAATACCGTGGACAATGGATATCTTTTACTTTAGCGTAAATTACCAACTTAATTACTTTCAGCGATCGTGCAAGTCTCTAATATAGCATCAATTTCTCCGCACAAATTCTGAAGACCGAACCCCGACGCATCAACCCTTATCAGAAATAACTTGAGTGACACCAGGTCGGCTGACAAAGACCATGTAAGTCGGGTCCCGCGGTGTACAGGAATTGGTGGTGCCCAGGCATAGAAGTTGCCCTGGGCCCACTCAAGGATGTTGTAAGAGCCCGTTGTGAAGCCCGGGGTAAAGCTGCGGGACTGGATACCGTTGGTGCTCTTCAGGTCGTCCGTGATAGAGCTGTTTATTAGTTGGAAGGGGCTGCTGGTGAGAGCTGCTGTGACAAGCATGCTCGGCGAGAACGGACATGGTGATAGTGGTCATCATTGTTATCCAGGGTTGTTCGTTGAAATGTATGAACATTTTAGGAGTAGAGGAATGGTGCTGATTCTGTGTGATAAGAAAGTGTTAATCAGAGAAACAAATCTGTCTTTATGTAACTGAAATTTGTGAGAAATTGAGCACCTTGATTACCAGTCATAATATAATCAAGGAGTTCAGAGATCTATCTTCGGTATTATATCCACTGATTGATACATCAATCTTCATGCTGACAGCCAAGCCTTCTTGTTTTAGCTTGCTTCGCCTAGTAAGGCCAATGAAGGGTCTATTTGTTCTTCAAGGTCCTAGTTTCTAAGTCACTAATAGCCCTAACCTGCTTCTGTGCTTAATGCACTTCGCTCATGATTAAGAGATAGTAGTTGTCATAGCACAACTGGTCTGTGAAATGGCCTTTTCATCAATACACAAAGATGAGAAAAGTCATTTTTTATTCGTGCCTATACGGAGATAGTGCATTACATCTACTTTTACGATAAGGTTGAACTTTACAGAGGCCCTGCTACTGTCTCCCCTTCGGTCATCAAGCTTGCTACGATGCCTCAATTAATCTGGAAGTCGATATTGCGAGCGTGCCCAACTACCTCTGTTTCCTCATCATCTAAGGTTTTCGCTAATTTCGATATCCACAGTTGCGAACAACGCCAATAAAAACTATACTACACCGATTGTTGGCTGTGAGTATTATGCAAATCGTATTGCTCGAGTGCCATATCACTCTGCCCTCTCAATGCCTTGGTTCCGCTAAGGGTGGAACCATTAGTGTCGTTCAATTCACTGCTTACCGATACCCAATGTTCCCGAAAAGCTAACATGAAATGATGATGATCTGAAAGTGATACAGGCTTCATATCGCTATATCATAGTTCCAAGACCCTGTAACCCTAACTGCCTTTCGTATACTCGACTTTGATATTTATTTCTTGGCATGATTACCCTTCATCTACAAGGCAACATTGTTGTAGTAGCCCCTGCACTATAAACTCCCAATGAACTCATAACAGATTGGTATCCATTCAGCAGGGTAAGTATACGAGTACAAGTCTTTCACCGACCGTCAACGATATCCACAAACCGAACAGTAATCTCCCAAACCTCCAAACGCATCACGACCGCGCCACCTGCAACTCACTAGTATACCAATTCTGCATAGCACGGATATCATAGCTCAACGCCACTGTATCAAAGACCTTCAAGTGCTCCCTGCCCAACGTCCCATTATTCGACAGCCGACCAACCCACTTCCCGTGTTTCCTGGCCCCAGCAACAATTTTTTCGATTGCTTGCACAAACTCAGGCTCGTCACCTCTAGCGGGGACATACCCCAATATTGACAGGGCTAGATCGTTTGGACCTATGAAAATCATATCTGCCTCAAGTTAGCCAACTTTGCATACCTAGAGAAACGAGTATGACCGCAACTCACCAACACCAGGTACCGCACATATTTCCTCAACATTCTCGACTCCTTGTTTAGTTTCGATTTGAATACATGTAATCAAGGTTTCATTCGCTGTCTTGATATACGTCGACAGGTCGATACTATGTGTAAATGCCGGAAATGCCGATCCTTGTCCGCGAAGCCCTTGTGGAGGAAACTTGGAATAAGAGACTACTGTTTGGGCTTCTTCTGCGGTGTTTATTTGTGGGACCACAATTCCGCTTGTAGGTTGATCAGTATGCGCATCTTATGAAGTAATGGTAAGGGACCGGGTGCTACTCACTGCGCGCCGGCATCTAGGGCCCGTTTAATCAAGTCCGAGTGAGTCATTCGTAAACGCACAAGCGGCGATACTCCTAGAGAAGCTATAGCTGCTGTTGCACTGTGCATTGAGTCGTCGCTTATGTGACCATGCTCACAGTCGATGATGATGCCCTTTTCAATCATATTAGCTTAGCGGGAAGGTGAGTGGTAGGATTGGGCGCTGACGTCAAGGCCGGTCTGGGCTACTATTTGAGCGGTGCGAAAAGAGGGAAGGCCCAGGAAGGTCATTATGGGCTTTGCATTTGCTCGGAGAGCATTGAGGAGTCGCAGTTGCGGGTTGAAAGTTGCGATTGTCATGGCTAGGTCTTTCTATTGGGATATGCTAGAAGGGTGTTAAGTGATAGAGTAGAACTCCAGAACACTAGTGGATATATAGATGATTGGTTCGCGATAGTAAAAGGGAGCCAAGCTGGAAATAATCAACTACATGTGCCGGAGAGCAGTTACAATAAGAACAATATAATAGTAAGCATCGGGAGGGTCAGCTAGAGTCCGAACGGTAAAGTCGGAGTTCAACCGATAATCCATCACCTGCCTTTGCCTATACAAACATATTTTACATTTCCGAATACCATATCTATACCCTCAATTGATCGGTCAAGGGGCACTCTCCCCAGCAGCACTCCATGCCGGGGCCAAGGGGATCTATCTATATCCGGCCCCTCCCGCAACGGCGCGGGACCGGCAAAAGGCCATTTCGCCGACGCTTATCAACCCATGGATTGACGTCAGGATGCATATATATCCTCACTAAACATCGAATCACTATCGCAGTAACTCTGCAAGAACCATCCTCGTCTAGTCAAAATATTACCCGACCTTCGGGCCAAAGCACATACCCCTCACCATCATGCCGCTCACATACTCAACCATCCCGCTCAAAGTCAATGGCGTGCGACTCGAAATCTCTACAATCCACAATAACAAGCTCAACTCCAACCCACCAATTGTCTTCCTGCACGGCTTCGGCTCCTGTAAAGAAGACCTAGCCGACATAAGCGTGCATCCATCGTTCCAGGAATATGCCTATCTGGCCTTCGACGCTCCGGGATGCGGACACTCACATACCGACGACCTCTCCGTCGTTGACATCCCCTTCCTAGTCACCACCGCGGAAGCGGTCCTCGCGCATTTCGATATTGATCGGTTCCACCTCATGGGCCATTCCATGGGCGGACTTACTGCCCTCTTACTGGCGCATCAGCACCCCGATCGTGTGCTAAGCTTCGTCGACATTAAAGGGAATCTTGCCCCCGAGGACTGCTTCCTTAGTCGTCAGATTTTCCAGTTCCCGGCTGATGATCCTGAGGCGTTTATGGATGCTTTCATTGCTCGTACAGCGACGGCAGAGTCGTATGCTAGTCCGTTGTATGCGAGTACGCTGCGCACGAGGGTCCGGTCGGGTGCTGTGAGGCCGATCTTTGAGTCGATGGTTAGGTTGTCAGATGAGGAGGATCTGATGGGCATGTTTTTGAGGCTGCCGTGTAGGAAGATGTTTATGTTCGGGGAGGAGAATCAGGGGTTGTCGTATTTGCCGAGGTTGGAAGGAGAGGGAGTGGACTTGGCGATGATTGTCGAGAGTGGGCATTTTCCCATGTATTCGAATCCGGTCGAGATGTATCGCAAGATTGCTAGTTTTTTGGGGAGTAGGGTATGAGGTGTTGTTAGATTGGTGTAGTAGATTGTATATAGATTGGATAAATTGTATACGATTGATAGACTGATATCAGATAGAAGGATATGTACTATAGATATTATCATATTGATTAACAACCTTAGCGAGGAGCAGCTAATGAAAACTATAGCTCAATCCAATATTTCTGACTAGCATCACATTCAGGGTGGCACAGCTTGAGTTCGAGTGAAGAACGATTTGTAAAAGAGTATAGTTCGCTCATACCCAACGGATTCCCTCACGCGAGGTTTCGATGGTACTAAAGGCAGTGGTACATCATGGTTAAGCCATTAGGAGACATTAGGAGATACTTGTACTGGCGGTGTGAGCAAAGTTACATCTCCTTCAGTTTCTTCACATACCTCACATTGAATCAAACTTCCACTGTGACTGCAGTTAACTTAGTCTCCTTTTAGATTTATGATCAGCAACATATTCCCTAATATTCTCGTCGCAGTCAAACCTAATCTCTATTCCTAGTAATCAAGCTCCGTCCGTTATCTACTTGGGGCAAGTCAACGAAGCATCCCTTCCTCCCGCACCAGTCATGCTATGTAAGGGATAGCAAGGGCCTTGCGTGCTTGAGCTAAGGAACACTACTCATAGCACTTTTTGGAGTCGGAACAGCCGAACTTCAAGAATGGTGTCTTGGACATGTTTCCTGTTTATTTCAATACAGGTCGGTTCCGTCAAAGGTAAAATCCGTCTCGAGATCGACAATGCTCCATGACGGGGATATGCGATGAAGCCTTTTCATTTCGTCTATCTATTTGTACCACGATGCATCATTTCCTCATTGAACCTCATTAGACTCTCTCCAACAATCAACATTTCGTCGTTCAGCACATTCCACATTCCATCACTCATCGTTGACATATTGTATAGTCCATCTAGTAGTGGCACTGGCCGTGGGCATCACGGGGGGTTGAGGTACCGTTGATAGTCAACTACAAATTGCATTAGCATTAAATAATCCACATACATACATATTATGATACTCACGGTCCAGGGAGCATGCTTCTTGCACCAGATGGCAGTCAGATCCTCGGGGCAGTCAGTGCGGTTGCCGCCAGCGAAGCCAGTGGGGAAAGCAGTCTGGCCTATGTTGCACAATCCAGTTAATTACAATCACCATCGAGCTTTTCCTCGTCCAGCACTCGGTCTTCACTTACATTCACCCGCAATAGCCTCGCCCAGATCCCAGGCACCACCGCCGTCACTCTCGAAGGCGCTGGTCACCTGCTGGATGACCTCGTCGCCAGCCTCGGAGACGTAGTCGTGGGTGGTGCAGCAAAGCGGGATACCATCGCTGTAGTCGAGGACAGTGTTCTGCGCGGATACGGCAGAGGCGAGGAAGAGAACGGCGGGGAGGATAAACTTCATTTTGGATTTGGGAGTCGATTTGACTTGGCTTGGCTTTTGGTAGGATCTCAATAAGATATCCTGTGGATGATGGATGATTGGGGAACAAGCTATGATCCGGGGATGAATGGACGGTATTTATGTCCCTTCTAGATTGGGGGACCGACCTCACTTCCACAGCATTGTATTGGAGGCAGCTGAGGTACCTCGACCCCTCACGTGAAGAGATAACATGCTATTTGTCAATGCTGAGACTCCTGCAGTGACAGCGGCCCTTGCATGTAGCTAGCTAGCTCAATGGGTTGTTAGCTGATTGATACATAGCAAGGGGTAATTAGAAGAGACGAGAAGCTAGTTATACAGCACACAGCACAGAGGGATGGATATTTTGGCTTGAGTTTAGGGAACTCAAGCTGGCATTGTTGGGGAACTGCCAGGCAGGGTTGAAACAAGGGCTGGGCAAGACATTCCAAACATGCGCAGGCGGGCTAAGACAGATATCCGGCGGTGAGATAGATGTCCACTGGGGATGACAGACAACGAGAAGTGCCGGTGGGAAGACAATTTGTATATTATTACTCCCCAGGGAAAATAAAGCCCTTTCTTCTTGCCATGCTTCAGATCTCGGGTTTGTCGGCTAGCCTCTTAACAATCGATGACAACTCTCGTAGGGACCAGGCACCCAAACACCAGGAAGCGATAGCTTGATGTGCGAGGGCAGAAGCTAGCCTGAGTACCCCGTGCGACGATATGCGGAGGCAGCATCGATCTGCATCATGCAGGCCACCAACGGATTACCCGAATAAAGCATAGTGCTTGGTTTCGTTCAATCACTGAAAGCCTTTGTCTTCCGTGCCCTGTTGATCTTTGCCGGGATCTTCAACTATCTTCGGAGTGGCTAGAGTCTAATCAAACCTTCTGATCCTGTTTCGCAGCAAATTTACCTGGATCGTCTTCGATTACATGATTGGCAGTGAATTTGTGGCAGGATTATCTCGCCGAATCCTCCATCGTCATTTTCCTATTTGAGGGGTTGGCTACATAAGCATATGAGATGATGCAAATGTGAAACATGCGGGTTCGAAGCGTATTCGGTAGGATCAAAGTAGCAGTCATACAGTAAAGCCTCCGCGATAGCAGAAAGTATCTCCTGATAGGACGGAGGACGCTTGATACATACAGATGCTGATATATAGAAGTATCGCGAGGAGGTATTGCAAGGAGGATATGATCATCAATTGCAGCAACACCTCGCTATATGTAAGCAGCTAGCAAACTATCTCACTCCCAAAGAAAGCGACCTTATTCCCGTCACTACTAATTGACTCAGGTCATTCAAGAGTGACTGGAAGCTCAGTCAAGTGCACGAATGCAAGAATGAATGTATGCACAGGTGTCAGCTCCGCGGGGGCGCGGAGAACAGGGGGTCAACAGGAGAAACATAATGAAAGTCGGGTAACATCTTCATTTTGAACACAAGTCCTGTATCTAAGTGATCATAGTTTCATTCCTTGCTCCGTTTCGGCGCCTTGCGGGCCATGCCGGAGGTGCTGGTAGCTGGCGGCCGGCGCCGAGCCACATGACCGTCTACCAACTTCTCAGCCAGATGGACGGCGAATCTATATACAACACTTCGAGATATACAAAGTGGCTGCGTCGGTGTATTTACAGCTGCCTCTGCTGTTTCACGTCCCTACTTGATCCACACTGAGCACTCACTTGTGACCCATCTGACTCCAGACTTGCACCTCATACTCCGTTATCGACCATGTCAGGGTCGCTCTGTGGTAGGTCATTAATCCATGATCGCTATATGCCACTTGTTTCACCACATGCGAGGAGGTCCCAGAAATCAATTCCTCACTTGACGGCAGGTGTCTGCCCACTAGCTTGAAGATACGGTCATTGCGAGCGCTCTTCGCGGGTTGGGATGACGGAAAAATGATGGATGGCTAGAGCCTACAACAAAGTTTGGGGGGGGGGAACTTCGCAGTACTATGCTATGACCAAACACCTCGTTTGAATACACTCAGCTATTGCCGGTGTGAGTTAGTGCCCGAGATTTCTGGCTTGGTCGTCTTCACAATAAGCTTGTCTTCCAGCCAACGGGCGAACTTCACGCTAGGAATATCCACCGCACGCCAGAAGACATCACCAGCCCAAAGGGAGATAGAAAGGCAGATGAGCCAGCCAATCAAGAAACCCAGGCAGTACTGGAAGTTGGTCTCCTTACCAACGACGGCCCAGATGTTGGGCATGAGAGAGTAGCCCAGCGAGTGGAGAATGGGTCCGTGGACGATGTAGAAGGCAAATGAAATCTTGCCCAAGTACTGTGAGAGAGGGTGGGTGAAGAGTTTCTGGAGATCCTTGGAGTGGTTGATGCTGAACACAATGAGCACAGCGCCCAGGGTCTGGGGAAACCGATGTGGCTCCGGGTAGGTTCTGGGAGTAATCTCCCAGGTCCAACGGTAGAAGGGAGTCCACTTGTAGCCAGTATTCGGGGCCGAACCCAAGTACAGACCGAGTACAAAAAGGCCGATCCAAAGATTGCGGGTAGAGAGACGGAAGGGAAGAAGTTGTCTAAGGGCATTTTGCTGCTTGGGAAGGAAGTGACGATGCCCAGTTCTTGGCTTCGACTCGCTCTCATTCGCAGGTCGCTCCCAGGTGCCGTTTATGAGATCCGCCTCCGCCATAAGCATGCCAAATAGGAAGAGCACGATATCCCAACGGCCCCAGCGCATACAGAACCAGACTAGGCCGCTAACGAGCGAGATCCGGATGGCAGTTGTTAGACGAGAAGTGCCCAGGATGGTGAGGAAGAGCACGATAGAGCTGCGGAACTCAACGGGGATGGTCCACAGATGCGGGTTGTAGTAGTTGTAGTAAAGCGCCCAGTTAAAAGGATCCATCAGATGAACGATTGCCAGGTACCAGTCCCAGTACTGCTTGTAGAAAGACCGCATGATCGGGGGATGCTGTTCGTTCGTGCCGAGGATGGTGTGGCCCTCTACCAGGACTTTATGTGAGTAGTTGTACACGCCCAACCGGACCGCGATGAAAACCAATAAGATGCCAACGATAGATGGGATGTAGAGGCGGAGTGCACGACGAAAGGTAGATGAGGCTAGGGTAGTGAAGGTCTGTTCCCAAGAGCGACTGCGGATCAACTTCAGTGGCTTGTAGGAGAGCACATAACCGGATATGACGAAGAAGATAGCCACCATGATATGGCCAGAAACCAGCATGTGTATTATAGGGAGCTGCAGCACGCTGAAATTCTCATTGTTAAATCCCCAGCCCACGGCAACCTTCCAGGTATAAGTGAAGAGGAAGTGGAAGTTGAAGACTAGCAGGCAGGCCCAGCCGCGCAGACCATCCAACGCAGCGATCGCATGTTGTCTAGACGGGGGCTGCGACTTGCCGCCAACATGATGTTGCAAGTAACTCGGGGTTATGAAGATAGCGACTTTGGTGAAGAAGTCGTCCAGACGGTCGATGCCGTTGTCCATGTGGTGCTTGACATGAGGAGCGAGAGCCGAGGGGTCGGTCAGATCGGACCAACTGGGAGCGGGGAAACGGCGAGAATGATTGGATTCCAGGTCATTCAAAGGAATATTATGGACTGGCGGTGGGGATAGGAGGCCATTGTCGGAGGACGACGACATTGTGGCGCTCAAGAGACGTCCGGTCGGTCGGAGGAAAGGCAGGCAGGAGATGCGTCTACCGCGCGGAACGGGAGAGGTTGAACCAGCAACCAGCGATGGGTTTGAAAGGGTCGGGGAATCAGTCGGGATTGGAGAAGGGAGAGGAGTCACTCGAATACCGAGTAGGGTAGAGGAGGACTTGTTCAGGTGAGGATAGAATCATGGATGATCTAGAACGCGCTCAAGAGAGCAAACCAGGTGGAGGCGAGCAGGGTCGAAAACTAATAATCCACAGGGACAGGGGACCATCTCCACCGCCTGCAACTTTGAGGATTCCGCACTTAAACTACTTTGGGACTAGCCCCATACAGGTCACTGACTGACTGACTGAGTTCTTACCGCTATACTCAAGTAGGCAACCTCGTCTCGATAAAAAAAAAAGGTATGGAGTCTCTTCCTTAACTTTCCATTAATCCTATATGTCAGTAAGGACTATACCAGTGGAAGTATTGGGAGAGTAACGCCAAATCTACACCCTCTGCCCAGGCTGGTTGTGGATTACGTGGCATTATGTCCCGTGTTCTAGGGATCGACCAGCGCATCATATGTAATCCTGCTCACGCCATTGAGTTGAAACTTGGTTAGTCTTATATGAAGTACTATAAGCGCCGACATCTCGTTATAAGGCTATCACTGCAAAACTGTGGTCGGGCAGTTTGAGGCAACATATAGTTATGTCCATTCATTGCTGCTTCTTACTTTTTGCAGAAAGGTCTCACTTGACTTTCAACCGGTCTCGAATATTTGTAACAAAGTCAATGAAAACTGAATTCACTACGTAGTGCACCTCTAGATATAATAAGTATAGCCAGCATATTACTGGGGAACAAGCTTTCAAGTGCAGCATAATACGTCGCTAAGGTTGGTTAGGACTAAATCAGCTATGACTGGTTGACCACTGCCTGAACTCAGGCAATCCGGTCAGCAGAATCATTACATCAGGGATTCTAGGATCATATCAATGTCCCGAAACTATCTCAGCTGGGCTGTATAAAGTTCCCCGTCCGCCCTGTCGAACCCGCAGCGCTGAGACTGTTCGCTTTGGGTTCTCGCAGAGCAGAAGTTAAATGCTTCAACGTGAAGAATATTTTCGGCTCTAGTAGTATACGGTGTCCGTAGTTGTGAGTTCGGCGATATCGACTGGAGTCGGCACAGAGGTTTCCGAACCATCGGGAAGAATACCTTGGGCCGACCACCAGCATTGGCAGCTGGCCTGAGAGACCGGCGAACATGTTACCGGACCGAGAGTATAATGCCGAAAATCATTTAGTTGACATATTAGCATGTTATTGAGCAGTTCACTTTCTTCTTGATACCTCAATCATCCCCTTCATCGTTTACTAGTGTCTATAATTTACCAGCGACACAGGAAACATCAGCCTCACAAGATTCCAAGCATGACCGAACAGTACCTTGGCCTACCTATTGCGCCGGCAGATACAGCCTTTGGGCTGATGGCAGAGTATGATGCCGACCAGCACCCAAACAAGGTGTCCCTAATAGCAGGGGCATACCGCGACGAGAGCGGCCAACCTTGGGTACTCCCAAGTGTGGAAGAGGTTGGTAGCACGTATGTCTTTATAGTTCCTGGATTTAACTAAGCTACCCTTCTCCATTTCAGGCCAAAGCACGCCTCGGTCAGGACCAGAGCCACGAATATCTAGGCATCGCAGGCTCACCGGCCCTTATCAATCTCGCTCAGTCCCTTACATTTGGCTCCGATATGGCCAAGAATCTAGACAAGAGCATCGCTTCTATCCAAACAGTCTCAGGAACAGGCGCAAATCATATGGCTGCGCGCTTCCTAGCACAACATCTTTGTCCAAAGCGGGTGTACATCCCCTCGCCAACATGGGTCAACCACCAGACTATTTGGGCTGGTGTTGGGATCCACATCGAAGAGTACCCATACTACTCTGCAGAAACAAGAGGCGTTGACCTAGAAGGAATGCTATCAGTGTTCGAGACTACCGCCGAAGAAAGAGATGTAGTGGTTCTGCAAGCCTGTGCGCACAACCCGACAGGTGTGGACCTCACTCACGAGCAATGGGCACGAGCTGCGGAAGTGATGAAGCGTAAGAAGTTATACGTTCTCTTTGACAGCGCTTATCAGGGCTTTGCTACAGGCGATGTCAACGGTGATGCCTGGTCTATTCGGTATTTCGTGGAGCAACTGATGTCCAATGGGGAACCCGATCATCCAGGCCTCTGTGTGGCACAATCTTTTTCTAAAAATTTTGGACTCTACGGCGAGCGTGTAGGTGCCCTCCATCTTGTCGTGCCTCGGCACCTCGCCGCCCAGGGTGCCCGGTCGGAACTACTTGGTCTCGCTCGTGCAGAGTACTCAAATCCGCCTCGCTATGGGGCGAGTATTGTCGAAACTGTCCTAGGAAATGAAGAGTTAAAGGGGCAGTGGCTAAGGGACTTGAATACTATGAGTTCGAGAATTAAGAGCATGCGGCGTGAGCTCCGCAGGAGGCTGGAAAGCAAGGGGACGCCGGGGGATTGGTCAGTTTTGGAGAGCCAGATTGGTATGTTTAGCTTTACGGCGCTGAGTCAGAAACAAGTTTCTCGCTTGCGAGAGAAATTTCATATCTATCTCTTGCCATCGGGGAGAGTGAGCATCTGTGGTTTGAATGAGGGGAATGTTGAGTATGTGGCAGGTGCGTTTAGGGAGGTGATTGGATCCAATTCCAATTGAATCCATGCAAGATAGCTCTAAGACAAAGAAATAGCATAACCAGCAGTCTGAAAGTAAGTTAGAATACTAAAGAATCTTACTACTACTAGTAATTGCCTAGGAATGCTACCATGACTCGCTTTACTATTTTTAACGAGGGCTGATTTCTTAGGTAAGCCAACACACGATTTTACGAATCCTGTACAGAGCATCTACAAAGTGCGTCTGACCTATTATATTTCATTCACCCTGGAGTGAACGCTGAACCAATTGACAACAGCATAGGTAATTCAATATCTAACTTAGTATCTACTTACTACAAGGTCAGATAGCTATAATCTGATTGGTCCCGCCATCCCCAACTACCATAAGCGGTTAGTTCCACCCCGCGGGCCTGGCCGGGAAAATTCTTCCCAAATAAGAATTGTCCGACAGAGTATAAACCATCTATAACCAGCATACACCTCCAGCAGACCAAATAGCACAGCATGGGCATGAAAGAGCTGCCCATCACCCCTCGTGGAATCTTCTGGCAAGAAGACTTTATCACGCCCGAACACGAGCAGCAACTAATCTCCATCTTCCGGCATGAACTAAAGTGGCCCGACCGCAGCGGGCGCACGTCTCTCCACTACGGCTATACATTCGATTATACGACTTTCGGAGTAGACCCCGAGATACCCTATAAGGAGTTTCCAGATTGGCTGAAGCCTCTGATCCCCACGACGGAGTCCCGTCCCCCAGATCAGGTCTGTCTGCAGTATTATCCTCCGGGAAGTGGCATCCCACCTCACGTAGATGCGCACCTGGCGTGGGATCAGCTGTATGCGCTGTCGCTGGGTGCGCCGGTCTTGATGCAGTTCCGGAAAGGCAAGACGGAGGAGCGGATCGATGTGGACTTGACCCCGCGGACGATGATGGCGATGGTTGGGGATGCGAGGCTTCATTGGACGCATGGGATCAAGAAGCGGAAGACAGATACCTTACCCGATGGCTCGGTGAGGCTGAGGGAGGATAGGTGGAGTCTTACGTATCGGTGGCTTAGGAATGGAGAGTGTGAGTGTGGGAATGTTGAGCTTTGTGATGTTGCCCAGAGACGCAATGGTATTGAGAAGGAGAAGAGGTCGTTGAAGCAGTTAGCTGAGGAGAGTGCCAGACAGACTGCTTCTGAATGATCGGTGTTTGGCTGATGGAGCGACAAAGATGAGTCGATGACCGCATATCTTCATATACAACCTGTGGCTTTTGGTGGTGTCGTCAAGAGTCACCAAAGGCCATTCACTCAGACAAACTGCCTACTTTCCTGCATATGGCACGACGAAAGAAGCGTCCCATGGAATAGGGAATGGCAATGATTGCGGGGTATCCCAATCAGACATTCATTCGGACTCCAACGGATACTGAAAGGCGAATTTTGCCGCTCGAAGGCTCCTGATACTCCTAGGCTTTCATTGGTGGTTGCATGTGACGCCTACTACATTCGACAGCCAGCACAACTTGCTGTGGGTGCAACCCTTTGAGACACCAGCCATATCCCGGGATTGAATTCAATTATAGGTTGGAATCCGAGACCGCTTAAAGCACAACCAAGCTGATCCCTAGCTTGTCCTCATACACAAAAGTATCGTGTGTAATATTACTCATTTGTATATACCGCTTTTCATTTTGTATCATATACCATTTTGACTCGGCAAGGAGAAATCAGTTCAATCATCTTCTCAATTTTAATGTGAGAATCACCGATAAGTCTTGTCCACCAGATGAGCCGAACCGCCACACTATGTGTTGAGAGGTCTCTCTCACTGAGTGTCTAGAACTATAGCTTACACTGAGCAAAGGAACCAATGCCTTCGACCTTGGGATTCTGCTTCGCCCTTACACTTGGCCTTTAATGAGGAAGACACCTTTAGTCGCTAATTCATGAAGACTACCGAGCAAATCCTCCTCTTCCACGCTCAAAGTAGACACTGCAGATCTCCGAGCAGATGGGAAATAGTCAGCATCAATGCCACACCTGTTTACACCGTCAGTATATGTTAGGAAACTGTGATAGGAGTTGTATTTTACGTTGCTTCGGGCTCCGGTAGTACTCCTTCATTAAGATACCGCCTCAGATGTCCAACGGTACACAATGAAGGCATCCTGAGAGCACAGTGGCCATACGATATCTGCTGCACAAGGCGAGCGGCTTCAGAGCTGTTCCGAGATTTCTTTGCAAATATTAACGGACACACAGGATCCCAGGTAGTCGACAATATCAGTATTGGCTCAGCTGTGTTCACCCGGGGAGACCCAGGATAGCACCGAGGGTGGAAGCCATGGGTTGTGGGAATCGACCACGAGGCTCGGTCATAGATATCAGATCCTTGATACCTTGATACCAAAAAGGACATTTCCGTTCTGGAACTAGTATAATTGTAGACCAGCTTAATACCATGTTCTGGGGCATCCTTCCCGCTTTTTCGGTATATTATTAACTTCGCCGGAGAACAGAAAAGTACGTACAACTTAGTCCCCAATAAAACATCTTCTGCTGTCCGATCGCGTCGAGGATCATGTCCATATCAGCAGCTATCTGTGGAGTGTTTATGTATCTCCCATATTCGCCCATCATATCTTTACAAGCATTTGTTTCATTCTCGACCTTGGTGTACATCTCACCGGCTTGGAATTGAAGGTCCCAAGGGTTGCTGGCGAACGCGGCAGTGCGTTCGGCGTTGCTTGCGAAGCAAACAGCTTTCGGCACTGATCCACTTGCGCCACGAGGGTCGAAACTGAGTAAGTGGAAGTGTTCCCCAATGAGCTTATTGAGATCGGATGCAGATCCCCGCAGAAAGCCCACTCCACTGGCTGCAATATGCCAGTAAATGCCACGCTACCTGGACTTCCAACGTACCTCCAGGTCCCCCGGGGTTCAGGAATATATGTCTATCTCCGCTTGCAGATGCATTCTTGGCTAGCATTCTAATGATAGGTATCGAGAAAGCCTTGTCGGACGGTTGGCTATAATGATCCATGGGAATATCCAGTCGGGAACCTTCCTGTCGCGTCAACGCCATTAATAATGGGCCAAAAGACATCTGCATACTTACATTGGAGAGTACGGTTGTTAGCTTCACCGCAGACCTTCCACTGCAATATGGAACCCCCATGAGGGCTGAGGGCATCTGAACATCTTTGACCAAACATTGTGCCACAATCGCAGGGCTTATACATACTGTGACTAAAACACACGAAAAAAGGCTACCCCAGCCTTTGGACCCGAGCATTATCGGCGAGGTATTTTCGAGGGAAGACTTGCGTGGTTTGACTAGCATGATGACTTGATTGATGGTATGTGAGTTTACTCTCTTGAAGTAGTGCCACGCTGGCTGAGGACATATATCAGCAATCGCCTTTCCTATGCCATAGAAGCGGCAATATATAACTGAAGATTAGAAGAACTGAGCCATCGCAAGTGAGTAAGTGCACAGATGCATATGTGTTGGCTATCGTGCTGCAGCGAGTGGTTGTCCTGTCGTTGTTTCACCGAACAGTTCTGCCTCCGCTTTTCTTTGTTCGGATGTTTCCACTTTCTGCCCCTCTCAGCCGCTTGGTAGTTACTGAGAACAGCCAAATCCAATGAGTATAGCAGCACTGTCTACTTCTGATTGAAATTCACTATTCAAAACTGATGATTCAATCCCAAATTTGTCTATCTCATATAATACAGAAAGCCTGAAGAGGGATTTCTGCGGACGACTGAGCCATCCATGCTAGGTAATAAGGTTACCTATAGTTTTCTCCTCTTACTAGCTGCTCGCGTTCGCTTCGTCTCTTCAATTTCCCCGTCTCTTAAGTGTCTTGGCTCACTTCGATCTTTTTCGTTGGCCCAGTCTCTTTTGTTTTAGTATATCGTTAGTCTTTTCAGCCTGTTCGTTTCTTGACTACCCGCCACATCTTCCACTGGCATCCCACGGGAAAACGACCTCCCATAGCATCCGAATGTTCGCATGCACCTCAAAGAAGTCATAGGATTTACGATTAACCAGAGGCATCTCATCACTCGCTTCTCGTGGCCACACCCGTGCTTGTGGAAACTAGATTATACTCCGGAGGTCGGTTGCTAGCCAGATAGAGTATGAGAGTGTGTTCGAATGGATGACTCAAGGTGCAGAGTATTTGATCCGGGTCTATGACTTACAAGGAAGCAACCAGGCGAATGTCGTTCACAGCAGTAGCGCACTGAGTGAAGAGTTGCTTCGGGGAAAGGAGGTAGGAAATAATCGAAGACGTCTGCGAGTATGATGTCACAGCCGCGGTGGATTAAGGTCACGATTAGTCTACCAAGAGGAGTTTCCTGGGGCTAGGATGTTTAGTGTATGTTTATTTCTGTGATTTCCGTGTTTATGATTAAATTCCGACATTTCTGTGCAGATGATGCCTTCTCCCCATGCACATCAGTGGTGCGGTACATGCGAAAATTGCTCTGCTGGACCCCTTGGGTTGGTCCCGGTCCAAATACCGCATCGAAGAAGTTTGAGGTTGGGCTTTGAAAGATATTGAAAATGGAGTGTATTGACTAGGTTAATCCCTCATGTTGTTGCATCGTTTATTGCATACAATATTTTCTAAAGACTGCTATTATGTACGGATCTTTTATAAGTTGAAGAGAAAACCGCATGGTGTCTCGCTCAATTTAGATCAATGACCTCACGGTCCATAGAGTCTCCCTCCTCAACTTCAGGGGATGCCGTAGAGTCTAAATCCTCCATCTGGTCATTTCTAGATTATCCTCTTCATCATACGATTCTTCCTTTGAATTTGAACTCCAAGATATTTAACTCATCGCTCCAAAGAGGAGAAACTTCCCTGGGCAGATGAGATAAGACAACGATGAGAAAACCTCATATCCATGGAAGCAGCCGAAGGAGTAAGATGACGAACTCAAAACAATCATTCCATTCAAAATATCAGAAATAACGTAGTATTCTGCTTTTCTTCCATGGTATTTACCTCTCACCTACCACTTAGGTGCTGCATGGTACATGTACAGTTTGTCGAGACTGCTAGCCAATGGATTATTCCTGCAGTATCAGTAACCTCTGCATGATAGTATCCTTGATTCCTGTCTGAAGCTCTCCGTTATATTGAAGTATCTGTATCAACGTCTCCAAGAATCACATTATGTTTGGGGCCAAGTCCTGTATTTGTTTCTTTCTTATCGAACCCCAACTGTCCCATCAAAAATCCGGAACCATCCTCAAGACCCTAACACACAAGCATTTCACATCGACAGGATTGTTTATATATACCACTACTTCACTCTTTCCAAAGATTGCTCTGCCGCCACTTAAATCGTCACTGTTACTGTTTCAATTACAGCCAAACCCCTAACCCACCATTAACAGGCCCCTGAAACAATCAGCATCATGTCCATTCCCTACCTCAATGGCCTCGTCAATGGCCACAGCGACAACGATAACCGCAGCGTCCCCATGTCCTACGCCGACCTCAACGCACCCGGTTGGAACGGCGACTGGGGCTTAGCCCCTGCTTGTGCTGAGGCCCAATGGCGGGTGGAGCTCGAGGCCAACCCTGACCTGCCCGCGGACCGCTTGGGGGCCGTGGTCGTGTTTCGAGGACTGGTCGTGCGCCTGTTTCCCATCGTGAACGGTCAGGCGCAGGAGCCATTCGAGTATGAAGGCGAGATGGAGTGGGTGTCAGAAAGTAACGAGTTCGAACAGGCATTTCATGAGTTTTGTGTTTCGCTGGCGCAGGGAAATTGAGGTTCGTTGTTGGGTAGATCGATAACGTTCGGTCTGTTTTGCTTGTTGAACCACAACGGGAAGGAAGCAGAAAACGGACAAAGAAGGAGAAAGCAATTATAGCATATTCTTGCACAAAATGTACGGGAGGAAGCCTTCAGTGGGACAACTCCAGACCCCCTACTCTTTATATCTCTCTAATTGTAGTTACCATGTATCCTGAATATTTCGAGTAGCAGTCATCAGTCAAAAGTGGTCAGTGTGTAAGCTGCAGCCACTAATCAGGCCTGTTAGTGGGGGCCAAAATATTGTGCTCTGAAGTAACACCCGTAGTAGAAGGTCATATTAGTGTGGATAACTGTATATACTAGTGGTCAGGCAGTCCGATATTTTCCATAAACTATCCCCGTAGAAAATGTAACCGAGGTCTCAGATTCGCAGTCCGTATGAAACTGAATCTTTCTGTGGATGTGTTTGCGATGCATCCGTTGCTGACGGTTACGGATGATCGATTGCTGTAGGTGGAGAGGTAATTGGGGCAGTGGAAAGTGTTGTCGAGGAAGGATATGGTAGTGCATCAGTGCGAGGGGAAGCATGCGATGATGCTGGGGGCAAGGTATGTATATGGGTTGCAGTTAGTGTTGAGCCGGGTGTTGGGGAGAGGGAGGTTTAGAGTGTATAAATTCATGATATAATTGCGCTGTTGTTGCGATATGAGGTCAGTATATTATTTGTGCATAGATCAAGGGCTGGACCAGAAAAAGTTATGGGAGTTACTATTCATGATTGTGTCAGCATTGGATGATGTTATCCTGCTTCTTGTGTCCTCTGTTGAACTATACAGAGTTTTGGACTAAAAGTCATGTTTTGTAGAAATGAATAAATGAAGAGGCTCATATGGCGATTATAATGATGATGATAAAGAAGGAGAGAAGAAGAAGGAGAACGGGTATATAGGCTAGCTACATGATGGTTCAATCAGACTAGTTAGAAAGGTGGGAATGGTTACTTAGGTAGGTGGCCGTCACAGGGGCTGGACTTACACCATATTCACCGACATGCCTTATGTTGTTGACCAGTTATGAGGTTGAATACTTTACATATAACAAATTTACTTTAAGTCTTCAGGCGTGGAATTTAGATTTGTGAACTATATATTTGATATTGGGGTAGCTTTTGACTGACTTGCTAGGCATAGTATCTAGTATCACGAAGATCTGTCAACGCACTAACCACTCGACCAAAAACAATATATCGATTCAAATAGTTAGCCAGGCGACAGAAAGATATGTGTCCCAACATTGAAGACTTATAGTAAATAACATAAACACCGCTTGAGCCTCATCGTAGGCACAAAATTAGAAAAGAAAAAAAATACGACCACCATATGGGTCATCCCTCCTACGTTCAAAGCTTCACAATTGCTGGAGACTGAGAGACAGAGTTCTCATCTGTAGAGTATTGCACTTACTCATCATTAGCATCTACTTAGCTCTACTAATTAGGCCTGTGTCTGTGACGAATTATTAGATAAAGCTCGTAATAATGCCTATTATTTCGACCGTGACATATCCTGTTTGCAGGTATCAGACCGCTTTTGTAGTTAATACTTGTACCTACACAAGTAGTTAGTTACTCTGCGTAGTGTTGAGGTGCTTAGTAAGCCTATGGACTTACTTTAATCCGGCCCCGGCGGCAGGAGCGCCTTCCGCAGCATCGAGAGAGCCACCCCATTTGCTTCGCCATCCCCGTTCGTTCTACTGCATGTTTCTAGCCATACCCATCTAATCTGAACCATTCGATTGAACCCTTTTCCCGTTCCACAAGCTTCGTATCTGACTTACCGCTTTCTATATCTTCAGTAGTTGCAGGGTATTACCGTTACAAGCTTTTGTGGCTTATGATACCTGACGAAGTATAGGTTTATTATGTTGATACTTCACGGCCGTTAACCTGCATGATGCCGATAACAACGGTCCACCGACAATCGCGGGGCGCAAAAATGATTCACCGAGCTGGAGGGTCAGCCATTTAAAACCTAGCAAGTAGCGAGTCAGGAACCAAGGCTTACAGCTAGGGATGGTGTAATTTCATTTTCGGGAAACCATTACAGTAATTCTGTAATTTCACTCGCTTGAACCCTTCAAGGTTACAATTTCAATTTATCACGTGATTTTAGTGGTTACCTTAACTGACCAATCAACTGGTTTGACCAATCAGATCATCAGGATCCTGATCCCCTGGTAGTCCAGGGAAACCAGAGGTTTCTTATTATTTTGATCTTCAAAACACCGAAAACACTGCTATCTTGAACGGAATCAGCACTACAATGACCAAATGACGAGAAAGCCCACTAGAAATACACTTTAAACGTGTTACTGTTGAAGGAAAGGTAAATTTACATATAAATATAGATGATTATCGATGATTTTGACATTCTAAAGACTATTTCGAAGGCTATATGCAACTACTGCGGCTACAGCGTCGCTTGGAACGCTACGCGTCTCGCACAACACCTTTTCAAAAAATGTCCCTTATTCAAACCAACACCCGAAACACCATCTACTAGA